ACTCATATCGCAGGCACGTCAAGATCGCTGGCCATGAATCTGCCAAATACTTTTATTGATGAAAATAGCTTTTTGGCCATCCTTGATTGTTAAAACTTAGATTTAAGATGACAAAAAGGGCCACCATTTAAGTAGAAATTGATGCTACTAGGAATGAAATATTGACTTCTGAATGTTCTGCTGCAACATGATAATACTTCGACTCATCACACTTTGCCAGGTCGAGGCCACTTCAATCATGAAAATTCAAAATTCATAAAGGTGAATCTGGTGTACAGCTCTGTTCCATCGCCACCAAGATCGCTGGATCTAAATCCACTTATTTTTTTATTGAGGTTGTTTTAGAAACATTGTATTCCAAGCTGAGCTAACCCTAGTAACAAAACTGTATTCCAATCCAATAAAATGAAAAAAAGGAAAGTGCTGTGTAAACAGTAAATGGTGCGTGTCACTGGATGCAAACGGGTTTTTAAGCAAAATAATGAAGTGTTGAAAACTAAGACACTTCTGATAAAACAAAATTACAGTATGTTATGGCTTGTCCTATTGTAGTTGCAGGATTATCCTTCAATTTCTGTACACCGTGTAAACATTCATGAAGAACTGAGTAATATTCCATAATTTGACAATTGCAAATCAAGGTTGATGATTAGCCATATGGCTATTTTTCGCCTCAATCGAGAATTTCAAACAGACATTATTATTATTCATAATGACATGAATATATGGAAAATTAATCCAAAATTTAAAAACTAATTTTTAACTGCAGATGATCTATCAAAACTGTTCGAAGACTACGATGAATACAATTTATATATTTATAAGTTAGATTACCATTAGAGTCCATAGTGCATGAACAATTAATGCAGTTTATAGAAAACAAAATTTTAGTGCAGGCGCAAGCAGGCTTTCGAAAAAAATATTCCACAGAAACGGCTTTCCAGTTGGTAACTGAGAATTGGAGAAGAGCCATAGACTCAGAAGAAGTTGTCATAGCAGTATTTTTGGATTTGAAGAGGGCATTTGAAACGATTGATAGAGATATTTTGTTAGGTAAATTGAAGGCATATGGTATAACAGGAAGTGTTTTAGATTGGTTTAGAAATTATTTGTCTAAAAGGATGCAAGTTACAAAAGTTAATCACACTATTTCATCAAAAATTGAAAATACGTTGGGTGTTCCACAGGGCAGTATCCTGGGACCACTTCTTTTTATTTTATACATAAATAATTTACCTACCATAGTAAAAAAATGCAAAATTCAGATTTTAGCTGATGACACTATGGTTTATATAAGTACTAAAAATATTCAGACTGGTATCTATTATACAGGGTGGCGCAGAGGAAACGCATGTTTTCTGACCGAATGGTATTTCGCACAGAATAGGGATATGACCTCGCCGCACCGCCAGCAGAGAACACATGCGATGCAGTTTCAGCCATGGCACCGTGGATGACGGAGCATCGTGTGTTTGCCGTCGAGCAATTTTTTCGAAACGATGATTCTGTAGTGATCGTGCAACGTTTATTCCGTCGACAGTTCAATGTTGAACGCCACGGGCCAATTCCAGATCGAAACACAATACTCCGATGGGTTGAAGCATTTCGAAGTACTGGATCCGTAATGAAGAGGAAGCCACCTGGCCTTCCCCGTACCGTGCGGACTCCAGGCAATATCGAAACAGTGAGAAGAGCGGTCCTTGATAGTCCCCAACGGTCCACTAGGCGCCAAGCTCCAACTCTGCGTATGTCCCGTCGGTCGTTACAACGCATTCTGCATGACGATTTACAATAACATCCGTACAAGATAATGATCGTGCAAGAGCTAACGGAAAGCGATTTTGCACAGCGTAGAGAATTTTGTGCGAGAATGCGGGCCATTTTTGCTGACGATCCTGACGTCGTCATAATGATGAGTGACGAAGCACACTTCCATTTAACAGGATATGTAAACAAGCAGAACTGTAGGTATTGGGCGGCCGAAAATCCACAAGAGCTACACCAACGACCCTTGCATAGTCAAAAATTAACTGTGTGGTGCGAAATCAATAAATTAGGTATCGTTGGTCCTTACTTTGTTGAAGAGGAAGAAAGAGCAGTAACAGTTACTTCAGCACGTTATGTTCACATGTTACAAAATTTACCCGAACTTCAACGGCAACAAGTAAACATGGGAGAGCTGTGGTTCCAACAAGACGGTGCCACAGCTCACACAGCGAGAGCATCAATGGAATGGATTCGACAGATGTTTCCTGAACATGTGATTTCCCGTTTCGGCGATGTCCCTTGGCCCCCACGCTCCCCAGATTTGTCCGCATGCGACTTCTTTTTGTGGGGTTACCTTAAGGATAAAGTGTACCCTCACAAGCCTCGTACGTTACAGGAACTGAAAATTGCTATTCGTCAAGAAATTGCAAGAATACCACAAGAAATGATTTTACGTGTAATGCACAACTTTCAAGAGCGGTTGGAGATGTGCGAGCGCGAAGCAGGGCGACACTTGAGTGACGCTATTTACCATCATTAGTTTAAAAGTGCACTATCATTACTTTATTTAGCTGTAACTGAAACAAAGTTATCTTGAAAATAAAAAATGTTATGCTTAGCTGAAAATCGTGCGTTTCCTCTGCGCCACCCTGTATATGTAAATGAAGACTTGAAAGTTGTCTCAAAATGGTTAGCATCTAACAGACTAAAATTAAATACAAAACGAAAGCCTTGTTAATCGGAAAAAAACAATGTACAAATGTTCAACTGAATATTGATGGTGAAGATATTGAATTCGTAGACAATTTTAAATACCTGGGGGTTTTTGTTGACTCTCGATTATTTTTTGATATTCATTATGAAAAAGTTATAAATAAAATTAGAAGTAAAGTCTGATATTTATCGAGAGTTTCTGGATGTCCGAGTTCATATAGCAGAAAAATATATACTATAATACCATCATTCTTCCAAATTTCTTGTACTGTTCGACTATTATAGATTTAGCAAATAATTCCATTTTTGAAAGACTGCAAATTTTACAAAATAAGTGCATGAGAATAATACTAAATAAAGATAAATATACTCCCATTAGGCAAATGCCTAGCAAATTAAAATGGCTCAATGTAAAAAATGTTATCAAATATCTTGTAATGATATTCATTTATAAAGTAAAAAATTATATATTTCCATCAAGTCTAACTAATTTAACATCATCAAATGTCGACCATCATTTACATTATACGAGAAATAAAGATGACTTCCATTTAATGACCAAAAAGTACTGCTACAAATCTGTATTTCATCAAGGGTTGACTGAATATAATAAATTATACTCAGCGATAAAAGACCAGAAAACTTTTGACAAAATTTAAAGTAAAATTGAGAAATCACTTGTTAAATCTACAATTATAGGTTGCCCAGCATTTACATCATACACCATATGGCTTGAATTTGCTAGTTCTAAGTTGTTTACAATTATTCTGTTTATGTAGCCAAATGTGCTGAATAAATCTTTCTACTACTACTACTACTAATTAAAACATTACAAAATGAATGTAAGTGAATGTGCAAATATTGTTTGTTGTATATTGTTCAATACTCATTTTTTTATATTATCCATACTTATGTTTATGTAACACACGAGTGAAATATAAAACTAATTTATTATAAAGATCATTTGATTTATTTATTAAATATACAATTTTGAGCAGGAATAGCCCAATGCAACTATCACAATTATGTTTAATTTATACTTTCATCAATACTATTTTGTTCAAAGGCGAAGTGTAGCCAGAAGGCTAATCATCAATCTTAATTTGCAGTTGTCAGATTTTAGAACATTTCTACGCTGTTTATTAGTATCTACACATTGCAGTTCAACCAGATATACCACAAATGTCAGTGGTTTGTGTAGGTAAACAGAAACTCCACTGAATGTACAAGTAAACTCGCCTCAACTCTCAATTTTGTCTGTTTCTATAATCTTCCATGTCTTTCAACTTTAGTTACCATCTCTTCCAAGGATGTAGTATTCCATATTTCCACTGGGAATCTCAATTATAATCATCATTGCCTGTTAAATCTGCTGGAGAAATACACGTTTCGTTTCACCAATATTCTTTCTTGCATATTTTGGTTGTTCTTCTCATCAAGCAGCCCCTCTTCAATGATTTACTCTATAAATCTCGTCGCTAATTGGTCAAAATATTGAGTTTTAACCAGCACCACCATTAAATAATTCACTGCTACAGAAAGTGAGGCATTACGATGTTTTTCCATAAATAGCCAAATAATAGTCACAACTTCCAACTGATTCCAGAATATTTACACCATGGATTTAAAATATATAAGCAAACATTGTGGAGTTAATTTACATAGAACTAAATGGCCGTCCATTTGAGTTTCTCCTCTAACCAATAGGGTCTGTTAAAGTCTCCTGTTTGAAAATGATTTTATTATTTTCATTTTTGAATAAGGTATTCAATTTTACACCAGTCATCTCTCTAGAAATTCTTGTCAGACAATAACAATAAATGAAATTAACATAATTGCTAATAAAAAGTTATACAAAAATAATTTCCAAAAGAAACGTTTCCCCATATTCCTTGTATGATCCAGGGGTATGCAATTAAGTGGAGTTTTTTCCCGAAAACTAAGCAAGATACGAAAAAAATTCAAGGGAAAAAACGTTGTTATATTTGCTTAATTCAAAGAACATAATAAAAATTTCACAAGAGTCAGTTGCCTACATTTTTTTGTCACAAATTTTCGTTAAAACCCGCACAAACAAAATTGGGTAAAGGATATTTAAGAACTTTATGAAAAACCACTATTTTTAATTTTAACAAACTGTATCTTGAGAGCGAAGAATTTGCGGACCCATGTTTATATGAAGTTTTTGTCTTAAAATTACGTAAAGAGATATCTGTTAAATTTATGGTACATAATTAACAACCTGTATACTTCTGTCTTAAGTTATGTTTCAAAGTAACAAAAAAAGAGATGGTACTTACACTGCTCGTTTTATCTCATCTTCAGCTATTAAGTCGTACATATGGCTATTGTTCGTCGACGTGTTGACGAGGAAGAGAGCATTTTTGCCTGAAAATAAAATGAGGAATTAGCTGAAAAGAATTGCTAAAATGCCGAATGAAGTTCCTTTGCTTTTTCATAGCGGAATATGGTTTGTGCTTCTAACACAGGCTGACAACTAATCTCTTGACTTTCATTATTACTACCACTCCTTTCAAAACTTACGGTGGTGTAATTTCCAGCATAACTTCAAAAATCAAGCATTTTTCTGACGATGCGATCTTTATGCTGAAACGTTCCAAAAATTGGAAACATTTCCAAATCAATTCAAGATGGTCAAGTTTCACGTACGCAAAGCAGATATCTTCTATTTTTGTTAACGCAGCATTCATTCAAACGTAACGTAAATTTATTGACAATAACACTAATGCAAACAACTCTTCAATTTGTTCCTACCCTAAGCATATTGTTCCAGCCTACAAATGAAGTCACAGCTGAGAATAAACGTCTTTACTGACTTTGTGGCTAGTTCTGCAGCTATTTTAAAGGTACAAGAAAAAAAATGTCTCAACGAAATATTTTTGATAAAATTAATAATAATGGCAATGATCATATTAAAGTGGGGTCTTGAAGACGAGCGTGTGCTAACGGGAATATCAGATGAGCGCTTTACATGAAATATGCAATTATTTTCAAAATAAAAGAATTAGATGATATCCAACTATCAGTATCTTTTTGGTAATCACAAATCGATTTCCCTAACCTGCTCTAAAGGTCCGGTTTTTTAATCGCAAGTTAAATTTCAAGTTGGGTAATTATTTCTTGGAAATTATCTGTAAGTTTCCCGGAAATTCATTTTTCGGGTTTTGGTTAAGTCACTGACTAATAAAAAAATATAGACCGATCTATTTACACTCGGATTTTTGCAGGCATCTCGTACATTTGCCAAATTTCATGTCACTCAATGGAGGCTAGTAAATAAATAATAAGTAAACAAAAAGGCCTTTATTTTAAACTCGGCGAAGATCAGCATTGCTGTCTAGTTAACCGAGTATTCAGAAAGTATTACAAAAAACAAGAAACATGATCTTGGCGAAATAGTGAAATTCAATTCAAAAGTTTACAAAGTTGATACCTAATTAAGTAACAGTATATTAAACTTAAATAATTATATACAAACAATAAAATTAGACTATGAATACAAAGCACTAGAGCAGCAACCAACAGGCAGTTTAACTAATAATTCGCAAGCAGGGCATTTTTGAATTTTCTTTTAAATGAAGCTACCGCCACTTCATTATATTTTCCACAAATTTGTGAATTAAGGATTTTAGGAGCCGTATACGAAAAAGAGCGCTGAAACAAGGCACTGCGATGTCTTGGAATACTAAAATTCTTGTTATACCGTGTAGGGCAATCATGGATTAAACTTCGAACACTTAACTTACTTCTAATATACCTAGGCTCCCCACTCTCTATCACCTTATACAAGAAACAGGCAAAATGAAGCATGTACCTGTCAGCCATATTTAGCCAACCCAATTCAGGAAGCTTCGGACTGACATGATCCTCTCTCTTCAACCCAAAAATAAACCTGATGACGAATTTTGAATTTTTTGCAATTTGTATTTAAAAGTTTGATCTAGAAATGGCACAAAAACAATATCACAGTAATTGCAGTTTGAAAGAACCAGCGACTCACACAAATGATTTTTTAGGTCCCTATTTAAAATTAATCTATTCTTATATAGGTTTCGTAGCGACATATATTTTTGAACAATCTTATCGACATGCGTTCTAAACCTCAAGTTTTGATCCAAAACAACTCCTAAATTTTTATATTCTTCGACCACCCCTATCTCCACACCATTCATGACAGCATGAACATTCTATGATGCCTCATGACGATTGACTCCAAAATACATAATAGCCGACTTATTCGGATTTATTTTTAAACCGTTATTTATGGAATATGTAGACACCGATTCTAATAATTATTGGTTTATTTTAATTTCCATGTCAGCAGGCGGAACTTTTGGGAAACTGGTATATATTTGTGTATCATCGGCATACTGATGTAATCCACAAATCACCGAAAATGCTTTCTATCTATCGGTAAAGGTATTCATAAGTACTTAGTATGATATCTTCCATAACATGATGGAAAAAAAAATAATTTTTAGGTTATTTTTAGCAAAAATGAAAAATGCAACTAGGACGACTCTGAAGCTGCAACAATTGACAACATCGCATATGTAAACGGTGTTTTTTTAGAGGCGGAGAACTTTGAATTGAAATAAAACACAAAATATTTTATTGATATTAACGAATTTGCTTTTATATTGAAGATAATTCTTTGGCATTAACATTTAAATATGATTTCGGGCATGTGACCCCCACGACTCGCGCGTACATGGCGTAATCTAGAGGTCCAATTTTCACACGCTCTTTCCAGTACTGCAGGCTGTATTTCGGCAATCACGCGCCGAATGTTGGCTTCCAAGTGCTCAAGTGTTTCGGGTTTATCAGCGTAGACCTGCGACTTAATATAGCCCCAAAGAAAATAATCTAATGGCGTCAAGTCGCACGAACGAGGTGGCCAGTTTACAGGTCCATTTCTGGAAATGATTCGTTGCTCGAATGTCTCTTGCAGTAAATTAATTGTTTGGTGCGCTGTATGGCATGTGGCACCGTCCTGCTGAAACCACATTTCTGCAACGCCTGCAACACCTTCCAAGTGAGGCACAAAAAAGTTAGTAATCATGTTTCTGTATCGCTCACCGTTTACTGTAACGTTCTGACCATCAGCATTTCTGAAGACATAAGGACCAATGATTCCACCGGCCCATAAAGCGCACCAAACGGTTAGTTTTGCTGGATGTAAAGGTGTTTCGACAATAGCTCGTGGATTCTCATCACCCCAAATTCGGCAATTTTGTTTGTTTACATAGCCATTTAACCAAAAGTGTGCTTCATCACTAAACAAAATTTTCATATGAAATCTTGGATCAACAGCAATCTTTCCTTCCGCCCATTCAGCTAATGTACGGCGCAATAGATGATCCCGGGGTTTCAACTCCTGGACTAGTTGAATTTTATATGCTCGCAACCCAAGATCTTTGCGCAAAATTTTCCATACAGTGGATGGACACAAATTCACTTGTTGAGAACGACGACGAATTGACACATTGGCATCATTATCAACACTACGCTGCACAGCAGCTATCGCTTGTTGCGTGCGCACTGTACGGCGTCTTACGGGATGCGTATTGTCGATTAGAGTAAAAGTATTGCGAAAACGATCAACAGTTTCTCGAATTAATCGCTCTGAAGGACGATTATGGGCACCATAAAATTCACGTAATGCCCGATGTCTTTCTCGAATTGAACCATGTCTTTCAAAATAAATTTGAACAATTTGCAAACGTTGCTCCGGCGTCAGTCTATTCATGATGAATTGCCAAACCAAACTAACCTAAAAACAACCCAGAACTGTCAGATCGGCTGTCACACAAAACAGTGTTGCCAAATGAAAGTTCTCCGCCTCTAAAAAAAACACCCTTTAGTTATCGTAAAAGATGCGTAAAAGCTTCATTCGGCATTCGAGTGCGTCATTATGAGTTTTAGTGTTGACTGAACAACAGGTCATTCAAATTTTCTTAATTTTTATCCGCGGTGATCTTTTGTGTGTTTGTGAAATTAATAATGGCCAGGCCTACATACTGGGTGACCCAACGAAAAGGTCGCAACCCTGTTTGTGATTCTCCTGGTACGTTTTGGCGAAAACGCTAGGACACGTCAATTTTGATTCATAGGGGGGCGACGTCTTTTCATCTATAGCCGTAAAATACAGGGTGATTCAAAAATAAGACATTACGTTACACTATAGATTTTCAAGTGGAAACCCCCATTTTTTAATTTTTAGATTTTCCATGAAGTTTTTAGTAACTTTTGTATAATAAAGTTTATACCTATATTCAATCGTTGTGAAGCTATTTGAGTTTATGATAAAATTCGACTAACTTAATAATGATAATAATGAAAAAAAAATCATGGGTGCCAGCAAGAACATTTAGCATCAGTCAGTGTCATCGTATGTCGTAGAAAAACTTTCCCTTTCATTTCAAATTGTTAAGTTACCTACCTAGTTGTGATAAACATTGAACAATGACTTATTAAATCCAAGAAAGGGTAGAAATAACAAAACTGTATTACCAAAATGGGAGCATTGCAAGGGCTACTACCCGGTTGTTTAAAGGGTTACATCAAGACAAAAATATTAACGATAAGTATGTGGCTGAGTTGATAAAAAAAATTTAAGACACCGGTTCTGTGTCTAATATTCGCCGTAATCGCCATCGAGAAAATCGACCTGTTAGCATGAAGCCGCAGAAATAGCAGTTTTGGGATAAGTCGCACCTGTCAACACCCAAGCACTCGTGGACTGGCTACTTCTTCAGGATTTTCACGCTCAACAGTACAAAGAATTATGAAAGACAATAAATTTCACCTATAGAAGATAAAACTGGTCCATGAGCTTAATGAAGACGATTTTGATAGAAGTTAGAGTTTTGCGAATTAATGTCGCAACGTTTAATCAACAGTGCAATTCTGTTACTTCATTTTTGAATGAGTGTACGTTCTATTTACATGGTGCTGTAAATAAACATAATTGTCGATATTGGAGTGACTCGAATCCACATTTGTTTCGAAAGAAACACTCGCAATGTCCTGAAAACATAAATGTGTGGTCCGGCATCTTCGGAAATCTTATTGTAGGACCATTCTTTATTCTTCCTGGAAACTAGACGGGCAAGACGTACTTGGACATGTTAGGAAATACAATAGAACCACGAATTACCGAAATAATGGAAAGTGACAATGAGGATGTTTCCTATTTTTCAAAATACACTTAAAATGATAATATAAGTAAAATGAAGAAAAGCGCTGAATTTTTTTTGGAATATCTTGGAAAATAACAAAGTGACGCTAGTCAGAAGTTTATTATTTGGAGAATCGTGTGGTGGGCCGTGCGAGTGAGTGATGACGTCACATGACGGAAGCTTATCAGCCCAGCACCACTGCAAGGAATGCGCCCGCCGCGCCGCGCCACACAAGCTTCCCCCTATTATTAACTATGAGTAAAAAGTGGGTAAAACCTTCAACCTACAAATATTTTATTGTACCTAGGTGTACAAATGCTAGCATATCAGCAGTATTAGAAAGAAGTAGTGCAAGGTAATGAATAGGGACGATAAATTGCCGCTGTCGGAAAAATCAACGTTGTTTTGCTGTGAATCCCATTTTGATGTAAGCAGCTATTTAGCTAATACCTACGATATGGATAGTAGCAATAATAATAAATTATGATTAGTCTTAGTCTGTATGCCTCGCATGATAAGGTAAAGATTCTAAATGGTTCAAAGAAAAACAGAAATAAATTTAACTATTGCTTTCACTTCGAGATAATGTGAGTGTATTTGTATAGTGATCATCTTGTGGCTGTAGGGGGAATACTGTTCAAACCTTGTTTGTGCCGACGCGGAGGCTTCTATGAATTTTAGATTACTGCCAATAGTAGATAATCTGGCATTTGTCCAGTAGCACTTCACGGAAGTGCATGGTGGTTCTTCGCTTCTTCTGTGCAGCCATATTAATAGCGCTACACCATGCTTACAGCCGCCCTCTTTTGCATCACAACCACTGCATTCTAGCTCGATTACTGTTTCCTCATTTTCGTCGCATTCAAAACTGCAATGATACGGATTGCTTTTAACTCTATGTTAGGGCGTGGTCCTGGCTTTTACAATACAGAGATCCCGTTCTCGTTTTAACTGCACATAACCAATCGCCTCGTCTCCATGGCTGTCTCTTCCAGACCTATAATGACAACACCCAAATAACAATACCCAAAAATGAATGACGAATCATTGATTCTACTCCTGGTTAACAAATGGTCATCGTGAATTGTTACGAAAGAATTATTAAATTGCTGTGAGTCAACACCGGACGGCCATCAAGTCCTATTGGCATTGGATTAAATTTCAGTTCAAACAGTTAATTTTCTGGTCACTGCGCGATATTGAATTTATTATTTATCAAACGTAACCGCTGGAGCTTGGGTCATTATAAATTATTTGATGCATGCAAAGCATATTTTCATTTTCTTCTATTTATAAAATTAATAAAGCCAAATAAGATCATCCATAATACCCCGCCACTGACACCACGCGTCCTACGTAAAGTTGATGACTCAAAACACTTTTATAAGTCCACAGTATGGTATAGTCGCAGGCAATGGGTTGAAAAAATGGGTTCACGTTATCAGAGTTGTATAGAATAAATTATACTATTTACTTACGTACGTACCTATTCCCGTACTGACATAAAGTGAATTGTTTGTGAAGAAATTCATTACCATTATTATGTCCACCTTCAAAAGATTTGTGGAATCGGCTCGTAAAAAAACTTCTTGTCAACTTGAGCGCTAAGGATGTATGCGATATGCCGTCGTGTCGTCCGACCGCTTCACTACCGACGCGCGACGTTCCGTCATGTGACGTCACTACCGAACGTCGACGCGCGAGACAGAAAATGCCATAACTCCCTCAAATTTGAAGTTTTTGGAATAATTTTTTCAGATTTGTCAAAAATACTAGTTATACTATCAGATGCAAGTAATTCAGGCAGTATTTTCGACTATAGGAAACTTCCTAATTATAATGAAAATTACATTCATTTCCAATAACATGGTGTACCGCCGCACTATGTGGCTCCAGTACAACAGTTTTTGGACACCCAGTTCGCGAATCAGTGGATCGGCAGACGAGGCCTTATCGTCTGACCGCTGAGATCTCCGGACCTAAGTCTTTAAGATTAGTAGTACGAAGCCAGATTCCATTCAAGATCTTGGTCAGAGGATTACGGCTGCATTTAGACAAATAGCTCAAGACATGCTTGAAAATGTGAGGAATAGATTCGAACAAAATCTTTATTATTGCGTGGAGGTAAAAGAACACCACTTACAGCACTTATTACCACATTGACCTACCTCATTATAGCAAATTAATGTTTATTTCAACTTTGACCTTGATTTTAAAGCAGTCTCGTTATTATGTGTGAACTATATTGATTATTATTTTTACGATATAATCCCTTATTGTCACAATTTCTAGAATTTTATTATCTCGACTAGCTTCACAAAGATTGAAGATATACAGGTATACACTTTATTATACAAAAGTTACTAAAAACTTCAAGGAAAATCTGAAAATTTAAAAAATGGGAGTTTCCATTTAAAATTTAAAGTGTAACGCTATATCTTATTTTTGGATCACCCTGTATTGTACGGCTATAAATGAAAAGACGTCCCGCTAGAGATCAAAATTGACGTGTCCGAGCGTTTTTCGTTTTATAGGTAAGGATAGGTTATGTTTATGTTTTATTTTCGATTCCCAGTGGCGTGATTGTTATTCCTTACCCCAAGTTGGTTGTTTAATCAAAAATCCATATTCTCAATGCAGTGCATACTTTTTGATGTTTTCTCTTCATACCTTCTGATACTTTGATACTTCATGAACTGTACATATAGTCACCATAAATCAAATCAAGGCACTGCAGTAAGTAGCAGCAAGAAACATGCTTAATTCAATTTTGAGGAATCTCAATGTGTGCAATTTGGGCTACTAGATTAGTAAGGCTTTTTCTATTATTTATTCTTTTACCGAAGTGCTTAGGATCCTATTCAAACAAGAGCTGCCCTACATAATTGAATGAAAATAAAATATTTTTTTCGCAATGCCTTATTGAGAAGTAGCATTTCTTTCCCTGGGCGAAAAACAAGACGAGGATACAAATTGCATGATTCTGCCAGTGTATCAAATAAAACAAATTAATCTAACAATTTATCACATGATTTATATGATGTACTGAACAAGTGGACTTTCTTGAAATATTTGCCGACCGGGATCCTAAATCCGGCACTGAACAGTATTCAAAAATGAAATATTCATACTATCGAATCTGAGTCCGACCTCAAATACAGATCCTGTTACGCCACTGGATGGCACTTTGAACGTGTGAGCTTGCAAATCATGTCCCCCAAATCAGACATTTTCAGGCTTTGTTTACACTCGCACCCTTCCCTGGTCCTTCGATATGTGTGCAACAACTTATTTTTGATTTTAGGAATAAATCAAGATGTTTATATTTTTTTGTTGTCGGTTGGTTTACTAATCTGTAATCGTTGATGCGGAACCGCTGCTTCTACATACGTCCGAACTATCGCATTCTGTGCGTTTCGGGATATTCGATGTTCGTTTCTCGTGTCATCCGGGACAGATCAAGTCACTGTCAAGCAAAATTGTGATTCAACTAAAACGCTATATTTCGCAAACATCTGGACCTCTGGTTAACTACCGTTTACGGCAAACCTGACATTGATGATAAACGCTTTTTGATGTTTAACTTCTGGTTGTCAACGAAACTGCAGTTGACTATGATTGAAAAACCAGGCATAAGCATACTTACAAACTGCGTTTTGCCTGACTAGCAACGTATTCATCTTGATTATGGGGGAGAGAGGGTTGGGCTGGGCCGAAGACCCAGACTGGAAGAACTTCAGGAGGAATTTGTCGCCTTCTCGATGAAGAATGATGACGGCCTCTTCCAGAAGTAGGATGTGGACAGGCACTATGGGCTTATTAGGCCTCCTCAGTTGCATACCACCTGAAAGTATTATTACGATGTTAGATTTATCAGTTTTGTAAACAGGGTATGCCGCAAAACAAAGCCGCGTGTCTATGTTTCCAATCTCCCGTGCAGGGCTTTAAAACCTAACCAGCTAAGGGATGACTTACAGGTTAAATGAATAGATTTCATTTTCGTAATGTTACAAATCACACTTTTCGCGGATACTTTTTACCTGCTGATTATTTATATACACGAGTATATTAGCTAATATAAACTTTTAAGGCACTGCGCGAAAGATTATACGATTTAGTTTAGTATCAAAATAGAAATGCCAGTCTGACATTGAATTTTTCACAACCTCAAATACCCTGCGTACCCCACTTAAATTCAGAACATTTTGTACAGAATACAGAAAAATGTACAAAGAAAAGTGAGGTGTGCTCCAACTGGACCAATGGTCAATCTTCACCCAGTGAGGTGTGATCATAGCTCAAAGAGCTGTCATTCAAACTTGACCGACCGGTTTTATCCAGATCAAGACCCTGTGATTTTCAGCAGCGAAATGCACAATAAGATTGGCAGAATACATTTTAACCGCGCGCGTTACTTAGTAAAGTAAAATTTACATTACCTCGAAACTAGATTTTTATGGTTCTATTGTAATACAAGAGCTTTCATTTGTAGTTCTGTAATATTTTTGTGGATTCAGCAAGGTCACTTCATTGTGTAAAGTCCACCTAATTTATTTATTTATTTGTTCTCACCAATGGAACAAAAACAAAAAGTATGTATAGTATTGTATAATAAATCCCGAAAGGAGCATTATTTGATTTGATTACCCAAGTGCCCCAGAAGGAGGGTAATATTTTTCATGCCTGGGTATGTATGTATCTATATATGAATCCAAAAAAGTCTATTTCACGGGCTACAGACCAAACGGCTTGATGGATTTTTGATATATGATAGGTCGTTCAATTCGTCTTAGCAGTGCTAGTGACACTGACTGTAGTGAAATTTTAGAAAAAAATGTATTTTAATGAAAAAAAGTTAACTGACTTGACTGTTCAAACAGACTATGAGGATACAAAATCCTGACTGAAAACGTATTGTTGGCCTGAACCCGTACTTGTTAAGTACGAGAGTTCAGTTTGGTCAATATCCTCATAAAAGTGTTATTTGACGATGTTTTTTCTGCGTGTATGCATGCCTTTAGTTTTCAAAGTGAAGCTAACATATATTCCAGCAAGTATTTACCTTCAATAATTAGCCTATATTTGGTCAAGTCTATCGTTTTGAACTCCTGTGCAATGGGCTGTTCGGATCTTTCAAAACTACTTGTGTCCAAGTGTTTTTGAATCTCTTCCAGTCGATGTCTATTATGTGCAAGCTGAAACACCAAAAACAATATATCAGTAATATTTCAAAAGAATTTTGAAAAAGAAGCTTAATCGCGTACGTTTTCAAGAGAATAATAATGAGCACAGCTGATTTCAAATATTAAATAAAATTATACCCAATACGTTATTTGGCATTCTAGGGATAATATCTTCACCTCGACATAGATACTGGTCCATGCCGGGGACGCAAAAGTAGAATAACGTCTCGCAGAGTAGGGGTTTAATATAACTTTCGGATTGGATATTCGAGAGCTAGTATTCTGATAAGCTTTGGCCATATTTTCGTTATCAAAGCCAGTCACTTCGAGAATGGAGTCATTTACTCATTAGAATTAAATTAAAGCATCACTTTGTCATCTCAAATATGTGTCATCAGCGTTACTGACCGTAATACTAATGAACTGATTCCTGTGATAATGTGACATCTTACTAATCGAAATTGTATAATTTCCCGACGGCCTTAAAAGGAGGGTTATGTTTTTCGCATGTGAGTATGTATGTAGACAAAAAAATTTATTTCGCAGGCTACAGTTCAAAGGGCTTGATGGATTTTGACAAATGAGATGTTGGATTCGTCTTAGCAGTGCAAGTGACACCTGCTATACCAAAATTTTATAAATCTAAATGACACATTTTATTCGAAAACTTACTTTTTACGGCTTAAATCTTAAGTGGCTGGACGGATTCTGACATATGACGTGTCTTTAAATAGGTCTTAAAATACGAGAATCATTGGGAATATTAAAATGTTTATAAAACCGAATTATTGGACTTTTGAAGCTAATTACTCGGAAAATTCTATATCACAGGCTGCAACTCAAACGGCTTAATGGATTTTAACATTTTAGCCGTCCGGAGCGAAAGTGTTCAGTGTCTCGTCCGACCGGAATGGTCAGACGCACGAGTTTCACTGTACTCTTAAACGGCTATGCGCGCACGCTCACCATTTATCTTCCTGTGCGCGAGCAACAGCGAATGCGATCCACCCGGTGTCGGTCTCAAGACGGTGCTCAAAGAAATTAATGGGTTCGCGAATCCTCAGTGTGGACGGAAACGACAACGCGGCGCACAGGATTGAAGAGTTGATTGTATTTAGTCCAGTAAAAGATGGAATGGAATAATACTAGTTTTAAAACTACTGCAAGGGTTTGAGAAATTACTGATACTGTGGGACGTTAGGCAAGAAGAGTATTATTTAAAATCGAAAAAAAAAATATATATGTCAAAAACTAGGAATCGATTGTAGCATTGAAAATTTAGACTGCTGCGAAGCAGAGAAAAAATTAAAAGTTTGATGGGATCATTTCGTTGTGAAAAAAGCAAAATAAAGATTTTGACACTCTGAAAAGATAATGCAAGCCGCTCCAGTTGCCAAAAAACGCAAGGTTATGGCTAAACGTTCTCTTGATGATATAGATTTTCGAAACTGTATCATTTTTCGTTATCGTTGGTGTTATCAACGTAAGCAGGTATTCAAAGTCAGCCTTGGTCATTCTTTTAAAATTTTTGAAATGATCATAGACGGTCTGATATTAGTTCCTTCAATAAATCATTATTTCTTTTGCGTAGAAATTCGTTTATCTACCAACGACATCTACGTTTCCGATTTTCTTTTGTTTTAATTAAATTATACGGTATAATAAATGCTGCCGCGGCTATATATCTATTCTCCATGTTAACATCGTACGCAAACGACTGGATCAGCCCATGTGTTGAAAAATGAATTTCAGTTTAAACACCTTCCACGCACGCGAACGAATGCGGGCGCTTTTGTTCAGAGCGTGGGTGCTCATATGTAAACGCACCTTTACAGTCAATTGATATTCGTTTTCTTGACCATATCATCATAGTGTGATTCCAAAAGAGTGCATAATTATTTTCACCTTTAAAAAACAGTAAGCACACTTTCTAAACAAGGGAGTTTTTAGAATATCAGAAATAAGGACGATACTACTTTCCGTAAAAATTTAATTTTCTTTGAAAACCAAAATAATTGAATATATCTCTCGGATAAAACGAAGCCCTTGACAGGCGCGAAGAGCATTTAAGAAAAGGAAAAGAGAGCTAAAAACACAGTAACGACTTGAGCAAAATCAATATGTTTCTAGATTTGTCTCAACAATATGAGTGACACTGGAGATACTAAAACTGTATATAAAGAAATCACCGAATTTAAAAACTATAATCAAGGACTGTAGCACAATTAGTTTGATGGATTTTGACATTTGCTAACCCAACCAAAGCTTTAATCTTTTCAGTTACTGCAGTCGGGTTCTTTATATTTTTCAAAGACATACTTGTTTCTTACACTTCCTGAACTCGGTGGAGGCAGTGGTTTAGACACGAAAGAACAACAGAAAATTGACTCAATCACATAAATTTGGTCAGTACAATTAGAATGGAAGCAAACAGCATTTCTAATAATTTCTAATAAAAGCCAAATTGAGCATAAGGAGAGGTTATATTCAGTGGGATTGATCATAAGACAAACATTGACACCACTAGCCTCAGAATTGAAGTCTCTCAAAGTATCAGCTATTATGGTGGTCAACCATCTCAAGTGATGTCATATATGAAAATTTTTTGAAAAACACTTTCAATTATGAAAGTTATGAATAAATGTTACATCATTTGGATTGTTCTGAATATGACTGAGATACCAACTTAACGCTTTGAAGACGAAACGCATTTTTGAGAGCCCTGTTCGTACAGCAGTCACCAACCTGTCAGTGATAGTGTTCAAGATCCCGCCTCACAAATTCTGTTCATTCTGCTACGCTATGAAGATGAAATCCACACCCCCGGACCCTAGACACAGTCACCGACAAGTCAACGACCAATGACCGAACAAACCTAATATCGTATTTCGAAAGGGATAGAGGCTTTTTTCTGCTCTTCAATAATGGTTAGAAAACTTGCCCAACTCTCAAGGTGAATGCACCATCTCCTCTAGAGTTCTATTGTCACGTGCTAAAATCACGTAACCTTGCTTTTTACTGTTTTGATCACTCATGAGTAATTTGAATTTCTCTTTATTGATTATAGAGTGCCCATTCCTAGACCAAACGCTTTTTAATGATTTTCTTCTGTCAAATTCCATAGTTTATTGATTGTAGAATTTCTCACGTATTATATCTGTCATTCTCAGCGACTCAATATTGTATTGAAATCTTTCTTCTATCTGAGAAATTTCCTCATAAAATATTGTTGGTTCCTAGTAGACAGATTTGTTTCTGTCTACAATCCGCCCAGTGGTAACCAGCGCGCCACCTTGTGACTTTACACGTAGTACCAGTATAGGGACATTTGGTTCTATCAAGATACCTTGTTCAAGGCCATTCATTTTAACCTTCTTTAAATGTTGACATGCCTATCAAGATACCTTCTGTTAAAATTTGATTTACTATGAAGTTACCTTCTTTTGAAATGTGATATACTATCACGATACCTTCTTTTAATTACGTACCGACGCGTCCAGCGCCATTTTGCTTCGGCTTGTCCGCTGTGATTTTGGTTGTGTGCGGGCGTTTTTCCGTTAACTTCCAGATTTTGTGATATTAACGCCCTAAGCACCAGTTTATGGAGTAGTACCCCTTAAATATTGAGAACGAGGCAAGCAGCCCCTACCTTGTGACGTTCCTTATGTCACTGCTCACTACTGGCCACTGATTTTTGACCTCAGCGTTTGTAAGCTGTGAACATCTCAGCTGTACCTAGAGCTGTAACTGGAAGAAGACCATTATCCAGGTAAGACCATTGTCCAGATAAGTTTAGGTTTAGGCATTAAACTATTTGCACGGCCTATATTTGTAAAGCCTTCGTACGTGTACAATGGTAAACGTTTTGCAGGATTAGTTATTACCGTCTATTAAATTTATTGTCAGGTAGTTTTTAATAACATATTTTCTTTTAACTTACATTCCAGTGGTGGAGCATATGTGCTGCTTGTTTTGGCAATATACAGGGTTATCCAAATTAAGTGTCCACTATTAGTAACTTTGTTATTAGTGAAAATACAAAGTTGTTTGAATTAGCAAACTAGTAGCATTTTTAACGCTGGTAAAAATGAGAAATAAAAAAAAAACAATTGAGATTCGTTATTTTGATTTTTTTCAGTAAAATAACATTTTTTTAAATGGAAACCCCTGTATATTATATTTTTTTCTGTTAAAGCATCAAATTTTAAACAAAAAAGCTTACAATAACTTTTCTCCTAGGTTACAAATTGTTGAAGTTATGGCCTCCAATCTGAAACAATTAAATTGTATCGACAAACTTTATTTTCAACATCAACTTATAATCTTACAAAATACAATAACAATTTTTTTTAAAGAAGATCCTCGAAAACACCACCTTGTTCTTCAATACATTTTTGGGCACGTTTTTCAACTGCTCGAACTGTCTTAAGTATGGTCCTACCATCTATCTGGGTTATCTTTTCCCTAACTGCAGTCTTTAACGCGTCAAGGTTATCGTACCTTCGCTTGTAAATTTGGTTCTTTAAGTAACCCCACAAGAAGTAATCAAGTGGGTTTAGATCTGGTGATCTGGGAGGCCACTGTATTGGGCCATTTGTTCCTATCCACTGATCATTAAAAGTAGTACTTAGAAAATGATAAGTACCTCTGGAGTTGTGGGCAGGTGCGCCATCTTGCTGAAAATGCAGATGATGTCTACTTATTAGATCCAATTCGTCTAAGAAATTAGTCAGAATTTCTGACATAAATTCCACATATCTTTCACCAGTTAGGGTTCCCTCATAAAAGAACGGGCCAACAATTTTTGAACCAATTATACCGCACCAAACGTTGAAACTGAAACGGACTTGTGGGCCTCTTGGATGTACTAACAAAAGATTTTCTCTTGACCAATAATGGTGGTTTTTTCTATTAAACATTCCAGAATTTGAAAAATTTGATTCATCTGTCCATAAAAGGTAACGAAAGTTATTTACATTTTGGCGACAGAAGCTAAGATACCAATGGCAAAAAACAAGTCTTCTCTCTGGATCCCCTGCCAAAAGCGTTTGAACTGGTCGGTACTTATACGGAATAAATTTGTATTTTTTTAAAATCCTTTGAACAGTACCATAACTGAAATTAGAGTCCTTGAGAATATCTGCTATTGAATTCTCACGATAAGCTTCAAAATATCCAATAACTGCAATTTCCGTGGCCTCGCTTATTATGAATTCTTTTTTTGCCCTTGTTTTAGCAAAAACATTTTCGTTGCCCCTAAATTTTCGATAAAGTCTCAGAAAATATCGTTCATACGGTTGAATGCGAGCGGGATATAATTCACTGTAGTATTCTCTTGCTATCAAGGAGGATTTTCTGCACACTAAATAGCATTCTAACATATCACACTTTTCTTCATGGGAGAACATTTTTCTTTAAATTAATGACACAATAAAGCTTATAAACAAGTATTTACACTAATGTTTGACATTATTTGATTTTATCATTGTTTTCCAAAGCCTTCTAGTTGCGAGTATGTCCAGTTTAAAAATTTGTCGCTTATCTTAATGCTGTCAAATCGCGAACGCCATGTTGTTTTCATAGCCGTCTTAATATTATAATACTGCAAATAATTAAAAATATTTATCGTTATTTTGACTTTATTTTTGACTTTAGCGGAAAAGTCATTATGAACTTTTTTGTTTAAAATTTGATGCTTTAACAGAAAAAAATATAATATACAGGGGTTTCCATTTAAAAAAATGTTATTTTACTGAAAAAAATCAAAATAACGACTCTCAATTGTTTTTTTTTATTTCTCATTTTTACCAGCGTTAAAAATGCTACTAGTTTGCTAATTCAAACAACTTTGTATTTTCACTAATAACAAAGTTACTAATGGTGGACACTTAATTTGGATAACCCTGTATTGTGATTCGTTTTTAGATATCTTATTTCATTTGGCTCTCTGTATATAGTTAATTAAGTTTCTTCATTACTATTAGATTCTTTTCTTTGTGTGATGGTCAAGCAAAACAAGTTCCGACTAACATCTCGGGGATTTGTGGCTTAAACCGTATTGAGTCACTGGCGCTCTTAATACCCCCCTACTCTCCGCTTTATTGAGCTAGTGCCTTAATTTGCACGCCACTTGACAGCTGTTTTGCATTAGCCGACCCTTAGATTTCATTTATTGTAATTTACTAAGTCATTAATTAATTTAAAACAAGGAAAGAAGAATCACTCCACCATTTCCTCTTCTTTATAAAAAAGGCGTGGCACTATTCAGGCTTACCTTGGCAGCCTCATTGACATAATTTAAAATCTCCTTAGACTTCTGCATCGCCAAGTGCAATTTGGCCAACTCGTCCTTCCTTGACTGGTCCTCCACCTCCTCTTTGTTTGACTCCACACTGTGGATGAGCCTTTCCAAGAGAAGAGGGTATTTGGACAGCCTCTGCATCTCTGTAGGAAGGATGCCTTGCAGGGGAAGACGCCTAAAACATGTAATCGCATTTTAACAAGGTCAAATATGATCTCTCATTCAATACTAGTATTATTGTTTGCATTTAAGTATATCACATCGCTACTCATGCGTTCACTTACACTGATATTAACATACACACTTCAGAACGATTGAAAGACGTTTTTAAACGCATTACCCTCAACCTTTTTTAGGTGAACATGTGTGTGATCATTGACAATTTTTCACTTCGGTGTATCTACTACAAAATAGATGCATGATTTTTATTATTCCCCTATGTTTGCCTGGCTGCTAAATTAAGCCCCATGATTGAAATACTGTTTAATGATTACGTCTAGCACTGTAGCATTTTTCAAGTACAAATAAGAATTCTGATGTATTTTATTTAGCTGACTTCCAGTTGACATTTCGTTCGTTTTTTTTTCTTTTCACATTCCTACACAGTGTGTAACTACAACGGCCTCAACGGTCCTGTAACATTATCAAGATAGACACTCCCGCTACCGAAAGGACGTCCATCCTTCCAAATCCACAAATGAGTGTAAAGTTATCTGTCCTTTGTACCAGACCCGTCACCATCGTCAATCGACCCGAAAACGCCAAAAGTCTTCCGAAAATGTAAAAGCCCACCCAAAATTATTACTTTGCTGAAAAATATGACCCCTTTTAGATTTTTTGGCTTTTAAAAAAACTGATAGTCACCAATTTAGAGTAACTTCAATCTGCTGTCAACATTGAATATTTTAGTATTAATTTCTTGAAACTGTAAATATCAAGTGCGCACTTTTGCTAGTAAAATTGAAATGAACGTTTTACATTCTCCGTTTTTGTTGGGCGAGTAAGTGATTCACAGTACCTACCTGCATTGTCTTTTCTTCTCGCATTCTGTTAAAACTGCGTCAAATTTGGAGTCCCTTTCCCGCCTTTTCTTTATAAATTCTAAAGCTAATTGCTGACTCTCACAAAATGTGGCTGCCGCTTTTTTAAGTCTTTCATTAAATATGCCCAGTAATGTATCACCCAATTCCTGAAATAAAAGGAAACATAATCAAAATAAATAATTTTCCATATTTTGACTTATGAGTGATGATTCATGTGAAAAAAAGAAAGCGGTTTCCTTTAGATGGGTCCACATATAATATTTGTCATGTAAGTAGTAGGGCTAGCAATTCTTCCTCTTTTTATTAAGAACCTATGACTAGCGATACGTGTTCTAATTATGGGAAGCTGGTATTTTTGAGAGAATGACAGAAGTAGAGAAAATGTTCAACGTTACTTTAAATATTAGTAACTGGAAAAACATTGGATTGGTGAAACAAATACAAGTTACAGTAATAAATATAGCTTTGTTTAATCGCAAAAGGTTTTAGAAGACTGTGCTCTCTGTTTTACATAAAAAAATCAAGTTTCCACTTTTAATACAACATACATACGACACTATGGGCAAACTGCAATTGTGCTGGGATTGGCGTATAGAAATTTATTATTGATTGAAGTATAATAGATCTCTGCGGAAAAAACACTCATAGATGTTAAGGGAACAGGCCCTAAAAGTGTTCGTGTAGCTGAAAATATTCTCGATATTCTACTTCAGTTGTATGACCTTACAAAATGTGAATCCTCCCTAGTAGTTTGGTGCAAGCATGTGAGCTTACCTTAACTATAGGATCTTCCTTCCGCCGCCTCCACATCTCCTTATTGATCTCCCTGTGCACGTCAAACATTTCTTTGATGTTGGGAAACAGTAGATTGAGTTCGTCAGGCTTAAGCGTTTGGCTTTCAAGGATTTTCCTGTAGAAGATCTTGTACAGTACGTTCAAGTTCCTTACATGAGAGTTTTCGGTGTGGAATAATTCTGGAAACGAAAAATAATTTTTATATAACAAACCAAATTGATAACTAAAAATCTTTTGACAATAATTCAACTATTCGCCACCCTAACAGTGCGACTTGAATGTGTATGTCTCTTGGATACTGGATGAACAATGCACACTCAAGGGTGGGTTTAGTTTTGACTGTTCCATTTATCACTTAACAGTTGTAAGACATATTTAAGGGCAGAAATATTCTTCTTTTACACATTTGCAGACAGCACAAATTGTACTCAAAGTTTTCTCACGACAATTCTACTTCGTAAATACTATCATTTATAACAATTAGCCTAAAAGTAAAGAAACGATGAAAGTACCCGATTAATTCTGTCTTTGTTTTTTAGAAATTAGAAATATACTCTTCACACTCAAGCGCGACTTAACGAACACTCAAGTAGTAGTGAATACAGAGCTAGGCCGACGAATCTTCAAATTACGTACCATTAATAACGTCCTGACGCTTTTTTTCATGTGGGGAAAGGTTTCTCAGTTCTTCGGCGGTGACTAGGTTTTGCCAAGGCTCAGCCTCGGTGTCCATATCACTGTCAGATTCAGGACCTGCCCTGCGCCGGCCCTGACCCACAGCGTCCACGCTGTTGCTCGGACTTTCTGACAATCTGCCACTAAACAAGAAAACAAGTTTGAATACAAAGAGTACTCCATAACTTCTGCAATTCAAAAATAATAGTAATATAGACAACATCTTTACTTCTTCACAACATATAAAATTAAAAAAAAATAGACAGGGACGGTGCCGATTTGTATGGGATTTTGAGCTTGAACTAAAAAGTATGCTATGGAACAGAAAAAAAATAGAACAAACCAGCGAGATCAATTTTGTTAATGGTTTTTGGGTTTTTACATTTTATCGGGCACACACTTTTTTTGCTTCACTCTGGTTCTCGAGATAGGAGTAGTAGAATAACAGACAAGTAACTATGATCTGTGGTGAAAAGTTTAGAAGCATGAATCTACTAACATATTGATCTGCCAAAGATGAAAAACTTAAGCCAAAATAAACGTCAAAATCAGTCAGAAAGGTAATATAGGTCTGTTCACAGTTTTTGGCGGTCACAGTTAAACTACAGTAATTACTTTTATAAATCCAGCTCCCTCACATATACATATGCAGTTGGCTTCTATGCGCGGACGTTTGGTCATGTAAACTTAAAGAAATACGTTTTTTAGTTTTGTCTCACCGCCTCGGAAATTGTATCGTCAACATATGAGTTCTTCATTTATGCTTGTTTGTCTTGTGTGCGTTACAGATTGACTTGCGCGCAAAGTGCAATTTTCTTTAAGGAAGTTAAGTTACGCACATGGCAACATCAGTTAATGTGCTTACTTATTTCGTATGTCATTGTGACGTAACCGTCAAAAACCGTGGGAAGAACTATAGAGTAGTTTCTTCTGGTTAACAGGGAATTAGTGCAACATGTGTACTGGCTCTTAATTTCTTTCACAATGAGTTCACAGTGATATTTTACGTGGAATTATTTAAAAGTTATGTCGATTTTACCTATTTCTGAATCTAGTAAACATAAAAAATAACACACCCACACCGTCACTTTTTAGGCTAAACACGATACAATTATCATATGATATGTTTCCGTTGTCAGATCTACTTCTGATCGTCGTTAAATTATAAATTTTTGTTCACAATGATCCATTATTTATCTGAAAAATGTTCTATAGCTATGAAACAAAACAGTTAAGTTCCTAAAACGGACACTTCTTCCGTTAACTGAAAATGAGTTTCCTACACCTTTTTCACATGAAGGTTTCTCTTCGAAAATTTAATAAAACAATCATTGTCAGTTATTAATCGCTTCAAAATACTTTACGAATTGCTATTTTGTCTTACGTGGCACAAAAAAATAAGTCATTAAAGGTATATTCTCCAGCCATATTCAATTTATGAAGTCAAAAACATAACATTGCATTTTAAAAAAAAAAGCACTTACTTGCATGATATACTTGAATTTGACGAGCTACCAGACTCCGTGTTCGATAGGACAGTATGCTGATCCAAGTCTACGTTGCCACTAGAAATAGAAAAAATAAGTAAGTTTCGAATCGAACACATGCAGATAAATATACTGAGTGACAAAAAAAGGTAAACACCTACGTATGTTTATTAGAATTCAAGAATTTTTTACATAATTTATCTTGCCATGAACAACAAGTGATAAAATGGTCAGGTCTTTCTGTTAAGTTTTTGTGGTGGCTGCGTGTATTGTTCGGTGATAAAGAAGCATTCAGTTTTCGTACATTTACGGTGTCAGTTAAATGTTGAATTTCGTGTAGCTTATTGCTCAAAATGCCTAGAGTGCGTAGAATTTGCCGGGTGTCTCAGCTAAGTGACTTTGAGAGTGGTCGAATTGTCGGGTTGCGTGAAGCCGGGGAGGACCAACAGATCCTTATACTGCAGTGTGAACGAGCGTGGACGCAGGAAGGCCGCGGACAGCGAGCGAAGGGTTCTGGACGTCGCAGAGGAGCCACAGAGCGACAAGACCGCCGGTTAAAATTTCTGGCTCAGAGAGACAGATTCAGTAGTACTCGAGCCATCGCTGATCAGTGGTTTAAAGAGCATGGAAGGATGGTTGGTATGCGTACGGTATATGGGCGAATACGACAGTTTGGCCTTTTTTCTTATCGCCCACATTGCGTGCTACCTCTCACAGCTGAACATCGGCGTAACCGTTTGCTCTGGTGTAGTAAAATAATTCTATGAGACCGGTTATGGAATCAGGTGGTCTTTACTGACGAATCCCGCTTCTGTCTGGGGATGAACGATGGTCGGGCAAGAGTGAACAGGCGACATGGTGAAAGACGTGACCCACAATTTGACAGAGAGCGTCACGTTCACCACACCGTGGGAGTTATGGTATGGGGTGCAATTGCTTATGGTAGCAGATCACGACTAATTTTCATCAGCGGCAATATGACAGCCCGACGCTATATTCAGGCAGTAGTGGAGCCTCATCTTATTCCATACCTAAACACCATCCAAAACCGGATTTTTCAGCAAGACAATGCCAGACCGTATGTTGTCATAGCATCGTTAGCCTTCATGAATCAACATCGCATCAACCGTTTACCTTGGCCACCATGATCGCCTGACCTATCTCCAAGTGAACATGTCTGGGAGATGATAGGTCGCAGGCTCTTGAATTTGCAACAACCTCCACAGACTTTAGCAGCTCTTACTCTCGAAGTTGCAATAGCCTGGAATGAGATACCCCAACAGGATATCGGCCACCTTATCAGCACGATGCCCAGGCAATGTCAATGAGTGTATAAGAAATCGTGGATTCTCAACTCATTATTGCACCAGGTTCTGCAGTCAGTTGACGAATCAAACTGAAAATTTAATCATTTTACAAGTAAGGGACACTGAACATATATGCTAAAATTATTAAAATCTGATAAATATACGTAGGTGTCAGTATATAAGAAATATATATATACAATTAATTATTGTTAATTGGGAAATTGGCAAATTTTTTAGGCTTAAGTTGACTCTTTTGACGATAAAATCAAGCTTTCGGCATTCTCTATGGAGCCTCCATCAGAATTTCGTCGTTGAGGTTGCAGCCACAAGGTGTTTCAAAACGAACGTAGAGAAGATATAACTTGTTATAAATATAAAAACAAAAGGACGGAGACATTGGGCTTGTTGATAACAACAGATACCTTCGTTACATGTTAAAAATATCAATACACCCGAACATATTAAAAATTATTAAACATGAGAAGACATTTTAGGGAAACAATCGGAATGCAGTCTCTAACCTCCTACCTAGGTTTAGCTTTAGGGCTTAGGCTCCTATAGAATTTTCGGAATAGACAAGTAATAATAATTTAACAAGGCCATCCGATGACAAAGGTCAATATTTCCTGCCTACTAGAACATTAGCTACCCTGACCCAACAAACAGCATGCCGATCATCTCATCAAAATCTACGCCGCAGGTAATAAGCTTACATGATAGCAAAAATATCGACACACTGACTACAGTGGAATTGTGTTGCGTGGTATATCATATTCCAAAAACCATATTGTCTCTAAACACTTAGAGGTAAGTAAAAATTGAATGATAACTCTACTACAGAAACAATTTCCATCTAAGTATTCCTTAATTTAGACAGACACCAGCGTATAAAGCCTTCATCTTGACCGATAAGATCCACTAAAATAACATTTAAATTGGTGTAGTGTAACGGTTTATAAGTGTAATCTATGGACAAGTCTATAAAGGTTACCATCAAGTACTCAACGGAAATAGTTTCGCCTTGGATATCGTACATATTTTGTTCGAAAATTTTCCATCATTATATCTTCTTGAACTATCTAAATATAAAGCATAAATCCATCTAAATGCGAGTTATGTATTTTTAAGCCTCTCGAAAACAGGCTCTTGAAAATATAGTCCTCTTACTCGGCACATTTTTCACCGGCTGCACTAAATACCATAACGTAATTCCAAGCATTAAGATGATATGTCGCCCAATTTGCACGATTTTGCATAGGCGCATCGCAGAGGCTAAGCAAGTGTAGAGGGGCTGTTGACGCTCCCTCAAATTTTCAGATTTTATGTTAAGAAAAAAATATGTAATTTGAATCGTTGATATCGAGTCTTCAGAACCTTAAAAATGAGTAGTACTCGTAGTTGCTTACCAAAACTATGACTTTTTAATGTTTTATATACAATTTAATATTTTCTACATAAAGGGCGGCCGAAACAACAGGTTGTCTGCAAAACTTACTTAATTTTTTTAAATGTTCTAGGGCAAAACAAGAATGTAAAATTTTCGCAATACACTTAGTATGATTGAATGTTATTAAAAATTGGTGACTTAAAAAATCATACTAGAATCGCCTCTACATGACAAGTAAGGGCAAAGGACAATGTCCACTTTGTGTGGTCGGAGAAGTGTGTAGCCCCCGGTTATCCAACAAAAAAGCAGGAGTCAGGTAACGGGTAGTAGGCGGTAGGCGATGCTCCTTGAATTTATTTTGCATTGTTTTCAATCTAGCCTTTACACTTAATATAAGTGGCGGGAGACGACAATCCTGATTTTAAATACATTTTTGGATTATTCTAATCATAATTTTAAATAGCCAGTGACATTCAAAATCGGCTGAATCACTGTTTTAACTTTACATAGAAGGTAATTCGATATTTTTCTTCAGTTAACCAACATTCTAACGAACTGGTTCCTGAGATCATTGTAGATATCCTAAGCTTTGACATCCTGAATATTATTTCTAGCCCAAATCGAATCTTCTATTCACAAAGCCCATGCCTTTTAAATGCTAAACAACAAAAAAGTTCATTCCTGTATTATATTAAAAAAGGTCTATTTTCTTTTAGTTATCCAAAACACCACACATTATTTCGTACGACTACAAATCCTGTTAGCATCTTTCCGGTGCGCTATTGGAACATTTTGGCGCATTCCCAACAACTTGATTGCAGGCGCTTTTGTCCATGCCTCTTCAGCAAAAAAAAAGTTAACTGGTAATGAAGATTGATGGTAATGCATACCATAAAATGATCGTGATGAATGTTGCGCCTGTAGATAGGTCTATACAGGATGATTCGCATAAGAACTGGCACAAAACAGAACCCAAAATATTGTAATTTAAAGCAACTTGCGTATATACTAAATTGCACCCCTGAGAAGTTAGAGGCTGTAAAAGTTGAGATTAAAATTTGAAAAAAAATTAACATTAAATACGTTTTAAGTGTATCAAGGAGCAGTAATTTACAGTAATTAAAGTTCAATTGAAGCATTGTTAAGGGTTGAAAAGGAATGATGCAACTTTAAGATGTAACTGAATTTTTTAACACGTTGACGGAATTATTACTGGATTTTCATTCACTCTTGTTATTTTACAAGAAACTTCGTGGTTTTCAACAAAAGCACAAATAATAGCGAAAAGCATGTATTGCAGCTGTGTCATTTAATATTCTCAAAAACTCCAACGTTCAACACTGGCTCTGAAATTAGACGTCAGACCTGACAGTCAGATGAAAAGCTTAGAACAACAATAATTTAATAGAAAAACAAGCAACTTAAACAATAGAAATCACACAATCTGCACTAGTAACTTACAGAAATTGGTCAAAATGATCATCGTTTTCTAAATACATATACTAAGTGACATATAAATCCGAACACCCAGTTTAAACGGTTTTATTTCAATAAAAGTTGGTGAATGTATTTATCTTACTGTAAATAACAAGTGAAAAAATTTTCAGCCTTATCAGTTGGACATTCCGGTTTTTATACTGCTTTTTTTTAATTCACTAACGCTCTAAAAATGAATATTTCAGCCGCAGTAAAGAATCAACGTTGGCGGATTTTGGTTCTTGACATCCTTTACGATCGGTTACGATGCCTAGAGTACGGAGACCTGTACGATTTCGTCAACTTAGTAAGTTTGATAGGGGCCGTATAGTGGGACTTCGGGAAGCTGGACTTTCTTTTCGGGCAATTGCAGTTAGAGTGCAAAGAAGTGTAGACACTGTGGTTAGGTGTTGTCAGGCATGGCTTCGAGAAGGCCGTACGCAGAGAGCAAGGGGCACTGGACGCCGCCGTAGAACAAGAGACCGTGAAGATCGCCGCCTAAGATTATTGGCCTTACCAAGGCCAGGGTTAGAAGGCGAAGTGGTGAAAGGAAGAATCCACAGTTTTTTGTTGGAGTTATGGTTTGGGGTGCTATAGCTTATGGTTCCAGGTCACCTTTAATCTTCATCAGAAGTAACATGAACGCGCAGCGTTATATCCACGAAGTTCTAGAACCCCATCTTTTACCCTATCTTGACACCCTGGCAGATCCAACTTTCCAACAAGATAATGCCCGACCACATGTTGCAAGAGTCACAATAGACTTCTTTCAACATAATGATGTCACATTGTTACCATGGCCACCAAGATCTCCCGACTTATCCCCAATTGAGCACGTGTGGGATATGATGGGTAGGAGATTGCTCAATTTGCAACGTCCTCCCCAGACTCTAGAAGCACTTCGAGAGGAGTTGGTGGTTGCCTGGAATGAGATACCACAGGAGGACATTGACCACTTGATCAGAAGCATGCCTAGGCGTGTTGGAGAATGCGTAGCACATCAGGGTGCATCCACACATTATTAAAGGTCAAAGGGCTTTAAAGCAGTGCAGTCATTTTGAAATTTTTATCATTTACTTATTATGCTTCATTAAGTACTTATACAAAATTTTATTAAAATAAAACCATTTAAACTGTGTGTTCGGATTTATATGTCACTTAGTATAGTACCGAGGGGTACAAGACACAAACAAACAAAAATGGCAATTTAGAACTTGGTGACCCAAAAAGTCTAATCAACGCTTTGTTAAAAACTAAGTGCAGAGTCAGTTTAATACAAATAGTCGCAATGTCGCACATTTGTGAGGTTACAAAAAATATTGTATCTCGGAGTACTGTACAGTGAGTACCTGCAGTTGGAGTTCATTAGTTAGGAAATGGGATTTTGAATCATATACAATAACAAACATCTCACTTTTACTGCTCACAAACATCTACTCATTCGAGTAGCGTACCAATCCTGAACACGAAAAGAAAATTTGAGTTTTAAGTAATAATCTTGGCGATATCCCAAAGCGTACTTTCATTGGGCTCAACTTTGTACCATCATACAATTCGAGTAAAGCATTGCAATTTACCAATTGGAGTCCAACGAGCCTGTTCTGCTATTCAGACCGTACCAAGCCAGAGAACGAAATGGGAATTTCAAGCGATGTCTGTTACTTTTATTCCTTTATTCCAGACTTTCTCATTTGTCAACAGACCTTCGGTGCATTTTTGTCCCGTTCTGAGACAGCCGTAGAATACAAAGTAAACACTTTGTAGTAGTCTGGAAACTGAACTGTGAAGAAGTTCCTAATGAGGCTATTAAGGTAGGCGATCATTATTGTCATGTTTTGAATAAAAGTAGCTGAATGCATTTTCACTATATTGTACGAGGTAAATAACATGTGGGGGATAGGTAATAAATAATATTAGTACATACCTCCGATGGAACGTTTAGCTAAAGAAATGACCAAGAGTATCGTAGGGGTTACAGAAAAGCATGTTTCAGCCGTAATGTGATTTACCTTAATGTATCTCATACGAGTTAGACAAGAGCACATGTAAAAGTATCGCGCTATGTTGCATCGTTTCCAAGATATTTTAATGTGAAATGAGGGTCTTTTGTATAAGACGTACTGTTACAATCTCATTTTAGAGAACAAAACGGATCTCATTTTTCATCAAACTCCATTGTCCAACATCTCGGAGGCGTTGCTGAGTATCGAGATTCTTGTAGGTTATTTTATTTCTCTGACAACCCCAATAACTGAAACAAAACTAGTAGCTGGCCGCAAGATGAAAAACAATGCCAAAATTAATTGATTAATTGAATTGATTAAGCGTATTGCTGAGAAACCAACAGGCGAGACCTAAATAGCAATAACAGATTATTGGGATATGTGTACATAGCAGGTTGAAAAAAAGTAGAAATCGCTTGACGAGTCAATTTTAGGTGGTAGTTTTCCTTGAATAAGAAGTGCTAAATAAAAGGCCTACGTCACAGAGGTTAATTTTTCTAGTAACGCGATGCCGCATCCGCACGCTTGGCACTTGCCGCAAACTCCAAACCTGTACAAACGTTTGGCTTTTTTTGAGGACGCAATCGTCGTCATCCATGTTTACGGGCGCGTCAGTGTTTTTTACACCGAAGCAGCCGCGCAGGCAGAATCCTAAGGCCATGACACCACGGCTGCTATGAGGATCCCAAAGAAACTTTGTTAATCCAATTTTTGAACTGCCCAAGGTTAGTAGATCTGGGAAAAAATTCCTCTTGTAGATTGTTCCACAATCTTGACAACCTAGGGGCAAAGGAGCGGTGGTATCGGCCAGTTCTGGATGTACGAAGTTCGACACGGTTAGGCTGGGAAGCCGAAGTCAGGAAGGTCTGACTGCAGGCACATCGCGCGGCGGCATCATGAAGACGAGTTCTGAGGAGCAAAGTCCTTAGCTTAGCGATAGAAGAGCGCCAGATAGCTGACGGCCCGCCGCGCCGGTGCGAAAGTGTCCATCAGTCGGACAGCCCTCCTCGTGTGAGCAATACTCGAGGCTAGGTCTTATCTGGGCCTTGTATAGAGTGATGACAGTATGTTATGAAGTGACAAACATAACGGACATCGAACTTGTCAGTCATAACATTTAGATTAACTTATTTTTAGTATAAAAGCAAATAAACAAGTAAAGAAAACGAAAAGTACGACCAAAAAGATAGTGGATGTTACGGATTTATAAAATCCGGATCAACTGTAAAGGTTTGTCTATTCTTGACAGGGATAGAACATAATTATTAAAATTAAAATTAGGTCATTTCCTACCTACAGAATCGTTAATCTTTTATATACTTATTTGATTTCAAAAAAATATTTAATTTATTGAATAAATTTGATTTATTTTCTTACTAATAAGGCACTAAAAAATAGAACTACAACGTCAGTTTCTTGCCGCTGAGTTAAACAGCTCAAAATAGTTGACTCATTGCTTTTTCAAATGAACTAAGTACTGAGTTGAGCTAAATGAAATTGCTGAGCTATACAACAAAAGGGGTCAGCTGGACTAAGATTACTACTGAACAAACTCACAACTATTCGCCACCCGGGCATAGGAGAAAGCACAGCGAGATTGAGGGCGTACAAGCAGGTACAAGCAGGTGGACTCGTCACAAGTCGTTGCGTGCCTTTGATTTGGGACCAAAAATCGACACTCGATCGGATCGGCTTCAAGCGCTCGCAAACCTACGCAAACCAAGGCAAACGCTCTATCCTCACGTTTGCGTTTGTGAAGATTTGTTGAGGTTTGCCAAGCGTGCGGATGCAGCATAAGAAACGTTGTAAACGAGATTCCTTACCAGAAAGCTTCAAAAGAGATGCATCTCTTCCATTACTAGTGAAAAGGTGACTACGTATAGTAACTACATTCATTTTTAAAAGCTTCACGGCGCATAAAGATTACAGCTATTCCGAGAAAATCATAGAATGATAGGCTATTGCAAAAAGAATAACAAAGGGCTTGAAGTGGTTGAAATGACCAATTTCTTCTCAATCTGCTCTTGTCACAGAAGAAATGTAGTAAATAGTGTTAGAGTTAAAGTTTTTGGCGTATAGTACATAGTATTAGAAGTATCCGGACGAACGCGAACATAAAAACAAATCATAAAAACCAGTACCTGTCACACCTACTGAAGAAGTCCTCCTGCTGCGTCATTCTACACCAATCTCACTGATGAGGTACGCACTACAACCATTGCGAAAACCTGCATCAACATTCTCGAAATGGACAAAACCTGAACGAACTAAAGGTCAGATTGACGTTGAACTTGAAAGCGCAAGCAGAACATCCGCCGAATGCAAAATTCTGAGAAAGCCGGGATTGGGATAGCCGCCGGGATGTGTTCGGGAAACGCGCTGAGGCGGGATAGGTGCGATGCGGGATGCGCTGTTGAGCGTCGCCGCCTCTGCGACGTTGCCATGTCTTATTTGTTGATGTTTTACTTGGGATGAACTTAATGATCCAGTCGTTTCAGGACATAAGGTAGGCCATTTAATCTTTGATTCTAGATAATCATGTATTTCCAGGTTTCTGCGATTTTGGCTTTAGTTAATATACGCAATTCTAAAAGCCATCAACAATCGAAGGACGAAAATCCCACAGAAATAGAGCAAAGCCATACACCAAAACACGGCGGCTAATCAAAGAAGCTAAACAATGTACAGAGTGTAAACTAATGGGTGGATTAAAGGGGGCCAGATGATAGAGAACCGCAATAGCTATCTACTTAACCCATACATGTGTTACCTGCACGGAAGAAACTCGATTTTGAGCTTTGCTTCGCAACTATATTGTGTATTGTATTTTTTTTTTTTTGTAGCAATATCAATGATACTCTTTTCTGAGCACAATGCTGTTTTGAGCAGAAGCTCCACAAGCAGCTAATAAAAATAGATCAGTTATCTCGTCAACTTTCCGGCAGTGCCGACAAAAAACACGCTGCCGTTTCTTCTACCATCTATTGCTAGAACTTGTTAAATACACGACTCATTAACGCTGCAAATTTAAACCGCCTTTAGCAAAGGCAATAGAGCTAATATAAGTCTTCCTCTCTCCACCTCAACCGCAGAGTTCAATCTGTCACTCTGCTTACTTGCATGTAAAGTGATGTTCCCCGTATGCTGTGTATTGGATTTATCGTGTAGAAAATAAGGTCATTAATCTGCAACAATGATCGAGCCATAACCGATCCCTGAGGAAAACCATCCATCAATTACGTGCGAAAAGATGTCGGTCACCCCTTGGCAAAGCCTCTCTAGAAAGCCATAGGACAGAAGTTTTCATAGGAGAGCATGCCAAAGATCAACGAGCTTTGTAAGACATTTGAAATGTTCGAAAAAAATTATTCTCAATTCCTAGTTGACTATATCGGCATGTTTCAGGGGGGTCGGACAGTCGGAAAGCGAGCACGATCAACTCGTACATATGAACATTGATGCTATTTTCAGGCGCATTTACTGCGGTTAAAATGTCTCGATCAAATGATTACGTCTGCCAACCCAGCATCGAAAATATTTAGGAATACCAGCCGATCGGAAACGTTCAAAATATTGATGGAAAACGAGGTGTATTTCGCTCTCTAGACAGTGAGAAAATAACAGCACTATTGAAAAATATTCCTGTTACATTTTCCAAAATTACCGTTGAGAGGAGTCTCAGAGTAAGGCTATCGTATCACATATGTGAAAATTGGTCAATGTTTTTTTGTTTGTGGAGTTATGCTGGCTCACAATTCAGTACACTGACTATAGAGATAAACTTTGAGCGTTTTAATATGTTATCAATTATTAAGAAGTTACATTGGTCCAAAGTTCTCAAGATAATGTTGATAAAGGAACACCCGAATTGGATGAAAATTTCATAATGCGTACAAAAGAGTAAACGTATCTTATGTTCCTAACTGTGTTCTGGAACATATCACCAGGCATTACTTCCGGAAGTCAGTAATTTCCAGAGTGGAAGTACCAAGTTCAGGCAACCGGCAACTGCCAATTTTTATACAAATCTACGCTTTCAATCCATGGTTTTGAATTTGTTGAATGCATAATACTGTTGAGAAAATATATAATATCCAGACGTACTTGTCAACTTTCCGAATACAAAAGTTATGTAATTGGCTTCTGCAGCCATTAGCATCTGATTTACTAGCCTAGCCTCACTGCTCGGCGAGCGTGGAAGTTGTGTAAAATATAGGTCATGAATTTTGCTTTAGTATGAAGAAGATTGGTTTCGGAGAAAGATATTCAATATTCAATGTAATGCAATAGTTACGGAAATTTTTTAATCAACATTTTATTGCAATAATAAATTAACATAAAACGTGTAATCGAAATCAAAATAAGTAATACGTCAAGTATCTCACAGCCTGTGTACGCTACAATCTCAACATCTCCTAACGTAATGGCTATTTGTTCATAGTACTGGAGTAAAACAAAATACCAAAAAATGCCGTAAATATATGATGCAAATACTTTATATGCTCTTGGTCATTTCGATAGGACTAGAGACTGAGCGCCTCCACGCCAGACACCTCATGTCAAATTCCATCAAGCCGTTTGGGCTGTAGCTAGTGAAATAGATATTTGAAAGTTATTTCCCGGGATAAAAAGTAGCCTATGAGCTATTCTAGATTATAATCTGTTTCTGTACCAAGTTTCATCGAGATCCATTCAGCCATTTTGGCGTGAATGAATAACAAACATCCACACTTTCCCATTGCGAAGGCTCAACCAGACTATACCCTAATTACACCCAAGAGAAGGCTTTCATTCATGCCTGCAAAGCTCGCGTGGGTAGAAAAAATCACACATCTAGGAAATTACGTTCCAGTTAAGTCTAGCGAGTTGTAAACATGACGGAAAAGTTAGCGACATGACATGCACGCGCGCCAATGTGAGTTTTTATGATCGAGGAGTTGAGCAACGAATAGCTCTCTTATGGTTATGGCAGAGCTATCTTTAGCATATGGCGTTTTTGTTTTTATTTCTGCGGCACATGCAACCGGGCAAACGATCGATTCCAAGAAGCATTTCTAAATAGGCAAGCGGATGGTCTAGTGACCGATAGAAATGGACTCATCCGATCGATATTTTTCACGATGCGACATTCAAGACGGGCCAAGCCCCTCGGGAAACCTGATTAAGACCGAATAAGACGCAGCTAGAAAGAGGCGGTGACAAAATTTGTTCACACAGCTAGATTTTCTCTAGACCGATTCATCAATACAAATTTATGAAATTTGTCTATTGCGATACTTTCTATGTATTCTTAATATAAACCCAGAAAATTCGGTCCATCATCTACTGCTTGCTAAGCATCATATCAAGGATTGACAAAAACAAAATGTTAGTGCGAAGTGCGCGAACTGTGAGATCTTATCCCCCGTAAATGGAAAGAAAATCAAATCCATCGGAACAAGAGAAAATATAATCAAGGAGCACGCGAAAAGTTAACTGAATGCAGTATAAGGAATTCCATTGAAAATAAACATTTCGTTAGTATCCAGCTCAAAAATGTAAAACCCTCTACATTACTAAATATTGCCAGTTCCTTCGTATAATAAACTATTTTTTTTTTAAAGGCTTTTGCGCGGTAATAGCGCTGCTTTCTCGAGAAAGGTTTGCGAAGCAGCTGTATAATGAACACCCCGTAACTTTTGTCTCCCATATCCCACAACAACGCGCTTCCCGCACGATAAACTAGTGGAGTAAGTCTACAAATCTCACATTTCGTTTGTGCACGCCGTGGAAAAATTCACTATTCATTTTGCCCAGTGTACTTTAATGTAGATCATTAATGTAAAAGGAATTGTAAAGATATTATTAATAGTTGAAGAGATACATGCCAAAACCTGAAAAGATGGACCTTTGCCTCACCTCCCACAGTGGACGAATTTTAGTATGTTCATCTAGGCACTTCAGAGAACAGCTCTAACAGTTGTCGAAACTACACGAATTATTTGGTCTGATCGACGATTTGCAAGCTAATGTTTTTAGAGTGGCGGAACATTCCACTGTCGGAAACAGCATCACACCCTTGACCGATGTAAAATCTGGCACAAAACGACACATCAGGTAGTTTTAAATAAAGTCATTAATAGCTGATATACAGCTTATTTTGTCCCATTTGAACACTGACCTTTCCTGATTGGAAAACAATTATGCCACTATGGCGGAGTAAAATGTATGTCGAACCTCTGACGGGATAAACCGACCCCATTCAATAGTTTGAGTTCGAAATGTTCCCGGTTTCACAAAGGTCTCAACATCAACGACATAAACCCAATAAACCCAACGCCAACGCACATATATCAATCTTGTTTTGCAGCTCATTGTTTGTCTTCGAATCCTAAACAAATCTGGTCGCTAATCACCGCTACGGCCTTCGCATCTCCCGTTCTGTTTATCAATCGTATTGGCACACTGACAACCGCAGATTTTGCTCCTCTGAACTGCCCCATGAGTTTATTTTTTCTTGCCTGTTCGTTTATTTGGCAGAGACGTTGCGTTGCTGGTGTCGGCAGATTTTCCGGAGTATATTTCATTCATTTTCAAGATCCATTCACCGCGGCTCGTCGCCCGAGTTACATTTCTTTTTATTTTCGGAAGGGTTACGAAGCATGCGCGGCCGCGTCTATGGATCGACGCCCCTCTGGCTAGGGGATTGGAGGCGACGTTGCCATGTTTTTCCTGCATTTTCTTTAACATCTGGAAAATTACTTAGCAAGAGCAATTTAGCGGGTAGCGCATAAAGCAATTTAATTAATTTTAACTGGTTCTTATAAGTGTGGATGATTTTTAAAAATAACATCCACATATGTCCATGGAAAGATATTTTTGATCATTGGTAGTCCAAGGAATGTTTTGTAGAGGTTTTACCTACCTACGATAAATTCATCTGACAAAGCGGATTGTCAGAAGAATATGATCCAGATCTATGCGCCAAAGTGAATTCGTTAGGGTTCCACTCCGTGCTGCGTCAGCGATATGAGACCGGCATCCGTACTATTAATTTTTATGACATTAGGTAGGTTTTTTGACATTATGTAGGTTTTCCTATAAATTGCCACTTTTGAATTAGGTGACATTCACTCCATGCTGACTTGCAGTAGGCGCGGAATGAACTAGCGGTATACTATAGCGGCTACCTCGTACAGAATATGAGATTTTGCGTATTTTTTTTTTCATTATATAAATTTTACGTAATAATTCTACCGGATCACGGCTGAGCATGACAGTGATTTGTGAAACTAGTGGCACAGATTTCAGGCAGAGAATCTGTTACTGTTACATTTTCATTGTGAAATGTCCAAATTCAAATGTAACAAAGCATGTTGGGCAATAATAGTACAACCGCTGTGCCTGGAATTGCCTTTTAATGCTCCTTTTATGCAGTTGAAGATTTCACAGTGACAGCGACAATGAAGAGGAACTTTGTAGGTTAATCTGATATACGAGGACAATCCCAAATTCAAGGTTTCCTATTTGCTCTGTCAGTTTTTGTATGTCTATGTCACACCAGCTCGATGCCAAGTCATTGAGGAATCAATAATTATAATATTTCACCTCGTCGGCAAACTGGATAAGGCGGGTTGGATGATGATGTCCCATCGGAACTTTTGCAGAAGACCGACCGTTTGACAGGCAACATTCCTCTTCTTCAGTTCTGAATTAAGCGTCTATTTTCTTTCAGTGTTTCACAGTACCTACTACTACCAGTTCCCACGTTGAAGAAGCACATTTGCCGGAAAGCGATTCAGTTCCGAGGACTAAATGAAGGATAAAGTGCAGTGCTTCATCAAGGACCTGACACCGAGTTTGTATGACATGGGCATACAAAAACGGCCACACATTCTAAAAAACTGCACCGTTCAAAATATCGAGTATGTATAAGAGAGACAAATATTTAAGCTATGTTATCAATTATTAGAAATAAATGGTTTTCATACTTACTATTGAGATTACCTTCGTAGTTTTTGTGAATATGAATAATCATAACTTTTGCGCTAATTTACGTATAAACTTATTTCAATGATGAAGAAAAAATACTAGGAAACTGTCCAATAGCGCGACGTTATGACGTATTCCGTCAAGGACAACAAACGTTAGTAACAGATTATAAAAGACAATGTATAGCCAGACAATCTTACTGAGGTTTGGCAAAATATCATGAACACAATGAAGTGCATTTCATGGAAATATTAGAGAAACTAGACTCAGAAATAGAGTCCACAAATTACCTAAAAAGATGTTTCTCTGATCGGCACCAGCTCGAAAACGAAGCTTGTTGATGTAAATTGTCCCATCCTTTTTGGTTACGTATTTTTCGGTCAATCATAACTGTATTTGTTTAATTAATAATTCATGTGATATAGGTCCGAAGAGAAGAACTTTACTGGCGTTCCGAATGCCTCTACAATCATTTTTTACAGCAAAGGGAAATGAACTGATATTGACATTTTCTAAATAATTCCTCGACCAGTGTTTTACTTCAGAACTGGTGTTCCGCCATTATTCATACATACTAGTTTACTAGTTTTTAGAAAAACGATAATTTAATTTCATGACATCAGATTATCATTCCAACAGCGTATTCTCTACCTAGACTAAATTGTATTTTTAACATCTGAACAGATGGTTTATATCCATTTTAAGAATAATGCAGAATATTTAATCCATCCTCTGTATTTCCCACCGAAGTAAACAGAAAATAGGATTTTTTTTTATTTCGGGCACTGATAGAATGGAACCATATATTTCGTGTCAACGTCAGAGATTAATGGTTATTTGCATCACATTTAACCTCCAATGCAGGAGCAATGGTCACGTTCTGAGATGGCAACAAAAAACGTTTACGTCACGTTATAGCTTTAACAAAAATTTTTACATTTCAACCTTGGAGGGCAAGTTTTGTTAGCAGCTGTTCATGGAATAAAGGCAAAACAATATATTTTTCGAAATCAAAATATTTATATCACACGGAAATACATTTTTTGGAAAGTTTGCATTGCAGGTATAACCGCAAGGTTAGTCAAGTATTCTGTAAACATGTATTTCCAATAAAGTTATAAGAAGTTTTCCAGATTTGTTCCCTGTACACTCCACGCTCCACGTGTGGTTATTGTGTACCGAAACTGGAGCACAATGAATATAGCTTTGCAGTGTCTGAAACCGAGGCGGCACCTGATATACATACATACGTAATGTATTCTGTATAAAATGGGCCAGATAACACCATATGTCTTTCTAGTATAAACATTAGAAGTTATTTTAGCCATTCGGTCGATCACATGCTGCATGCGTCCGTGCAATGTAGGAGACGACAGTAGCCTAGATATGTATTTTTATTATTTATGGCATAACAGAGATGCATGTTACTGGCTATCTAAATACGCCAGAGCCTCATTGAGCGATGATGTCATTTACTTTCAGTTTGAATAATGTATAAATAGTATCTGACCGTGATACGGAATAAGTATTATATCTCTTATATACCGTGATAAACAAAGTCCTGTCGGGCTACGTTCTCCACCATTAACGCTTGGTGAGTTCTTAGAACCCGAGAACTCATGTGCGTACTACAGTAGATCCATATCCGCTTGTTTGCTTTCCGTTGTACGTCTCCAACGACTAGCCCTATACCGTTCTGACTATTGCTGAAAAGCACGAAACAACGTTATATACGAGTGGTTATGGTCGCAGAAAACAAACAGCTCGTTTCCAGCCTGTGCTTAGGTTACGTAACGTTTACATAGCATGTCTAAGTTGGTAGCATGATGAGCACTCAGTGCTCCCCTGGGTGTCGAAGCGGACTGTCATGCAGAGACGTCGGGAAGTGTATGTGGTATTCTGCCAGTGCCGGATGCTCCGCTGTTCGATTTTCGTCTGCCGGCGCGCATGACGTCACGCGGAGAGTGATTATCATTTGGGTAGATATGGATAACATTCATATTTTCACCTACACGCCAAACGGCTGGACGGATTTTCACATATGAGGTGTCGTTGGATTCGTCTTAGCGGTGCGAGTGACACTAGATACATTAAAATTTTATATAAAACAAAATGGCGGATTTAAATAAAAGATTTCAACCTTGTAATTCCTATCTCACAGGCTATAGCTTAAACGGCTTTCTACCTCCACAATAGAGCGTGTATCTTCACTTTACTGTAAAAACAAGATTTTTCTACATTATCTATATTTTAGTATGGTGTGTGGAGCAGGATTAACATGCTCATGACGTTAATACTGCACTACATTTATTCATCCTTATTTCACAGAACATCCTAAGTACTAACTGCATGCAAGTGTGAAAATGTACGCAACTCGAAAAGTAGAAAAATCGAGTTATCATCTTTTTGCAGTAAGCTGGCGGTATAACAATAAATGGAAATGACTTAGTCTAAGCCACAATTCTTCTCCATATCCTTTCACGATTTTTCTGGTCTTTCAAACTTTTATTCAGTTCTTTGATCTGAAAAATAAATAAAAAGCTTTTTCAGTGCAGTCAATGTTGCTGCTCTTCAATAGAAGTTTGCCTATAAAATTTTGCTTTTCTGTCACTATTCCGTCCCCATTGAATGTAGTAAACACACCTTATTAAGCTTCTTTCTCAATTTGATTCATGAAAGCTGTGGAAGGTTTTGATAATCCTTTTCAGCCTCTCATCCTGCAATGTATGGCATTTCTTTCACTAAAACTTCCTCGTTATAGTCAGCTGATACTTCAGGTGCATTCAGTTTATTCGTTAATGATGCGGTTAGTGGAATGTCCGAAGTATCGTCTTCCTCTACGCTGCAATACTCTGAGTATGCGCCTTCGTTTCGCCCCCCAAAATATATGACCTTGTTCTATACTTAAACTCTAGGGAATAAGTTGAGCCCTTTGCCTTTTGCCATGTAGATGGTCCAGGTGATGATAGAGACTTGGGTAAATTTTCCATAGGAATGGCATCATCTTTTAGAGCACGATAACTTTTAGGGGTGTAACTCAAAAAGGTATGTTTTAAATTGACCTTATAGGCACTTTCACAAAAATGCTTCGAGCAAACTTTGACTTTTCTTTTTGTAAGATGTAGCCATGTTTTGCTAAGGTTTGGGACTTGAGGAAATCTGTAGAACTTCATGTCTTTGCAAGGATTCCGTTTAGACTGGTTATCGGAATCACATCCCACAACAGTACACCGCATTTTTAACAATTTATCAACCACACAGGCTATATAAAGTATGTATAACTGATAGAACAGGTCACAAAACCACCAAAAAACACCAACAAATCGCAATATATAGTATTAACCACGATACACGTGAAGTGCAGTAACGTTACGACAATCCTGCCGCTGGTAACCACGAGCCGACAACTCTCCGGGTGACGTCACGAAGCTCCGCCCACATGTGTATGTGTATCGTGGTATTCTGCTACTAACGTAGTGGTCGGGAATACCGCGTGCCATCTTTTCGCGCACTGAGTTTTTTCAGTAGATCCTTATCCGCTTGTTTGCTTTCCGCTGTCTGTCTCCAGTGACTAGATCTATACCCTGCTGGTGATTGCTAAGATGCATGAGACAACGTGGTATGAGGTTGGTTATCGTTACATAGATGGAAACCAACAGATCTTATTCATCCCAAGAATTCAGGATCGATATTTATCAAACCATGCTACGTTTTTGTTCTGCGTGAAATTGGAAATTACGGAGAAGGCCTAGTAGTACCCGAGACGTATATAGCCAAACCACCTATGGCAAAAAGTGGTAGAAAATGAGCGCTGTGGTGGCTCAAGGCTCAAAATGGTAGATATGGCAGCAGTAACTAGCAATGCGCGCAACTATTGGAGTGTTTCAAAAATTCTGGTCAGTTTTTCGATTCGCCTAGGAAGATACAGATTATATACAGATTCAGGGAAATTTGGACATTACAGTAACAATTATGATATTGGATCCTATACAGGGTGATTCACAAGTCGTGACCAAAAATGAAACATCATACACAGGACCGCATTTTGAGGGGGTCTTCTATGTAAAATTTTTTTCCTCGAGGGCTTAATTGAAAAGATAATGAAAAGAGAAAGATATAAACAAAAATTAAAATCATTAAAAAGATAAAGAAAATATTTTTTTAAATATCTTCAAAACCATCAATTGGAATGAACTAAAATTTGGTATGTGGATTCAAAAACCAAATTCATAAGTCTGTACTTAGAATTATCGTGCACCAGTGGCGGAGATACAGGGGATTAGTGTCATTATTTTTCCAAATAAAAATAATACGCCACTTTGTTTCGAAACGCGCAATTTTTTTAATTTTACCTTCAGTTTGCTACAAATACTTTTGTGTTTTTTTCTGGAGTAGATTGTTTTCGTAAACAAATTAGATAATCAAAGCTTTATTTCAATAAATGTTCAAAAAGACCACCATTCTGACGGATACAAGTGCATCTTTTTAATAAAGAAAAAGGTATTTCCGCAAAATTTGTTGTGGCTTGAATTTGATGAAACTCATTATCTATTCTTTCTTGTAACTGATCAACAGTATTAATTTATTCAGCATACATTAGTTGTTTAAAAGCGCCCCACAAAAAGAAATCCAGGGGCTCAAATCAGAAGACCTCGCAGGCCAATGTACGAATCCATTTCTGCTAATCCATCGTGGTCTAAAATGATTATTTAACCGTGCGGTTGTCACTACGAACATGAAATGGGGCATCGTCGGGCTGATACCTCATTCGTACTTTCGTTGCTAACGGAACATCATCTAATCCCTTTTCTATGAAATTATCTAGAAAATCTAAGTATGACTTTGCATTCAAACGTTGTGGCAATACGTGCATAAACAGTTGATCATTGAAAATGCCGCACGAGACATTTCTAGAAAATCTGTGTTGAAACGAGTAGATTCTAACAGAACAGGAGGTTTTCTAGCGACTAAATATGTTCATTATGAGAATTAAAGGTTCAACTTCTCGTAAAAAGCGATTCGTCTGACCACAAATCAAATCAATAAAATCTGCATTTCAATTATGCATTTGCAGTTACCACTCACAAAAATTTCGCCGTTGCACTTTGTCGCCGGGTTGCAGGCATTGCACATTTTTCCGATGGTAAGGATGTAAAACGAGCCGATTTAAAATTCTCCACGCAAGGCTTTGAAAACATGGTAACTGGGTTGCAATCCTTCTAGTAATTGTACTAGGATCATCCAACGCCAAATTAATCTCTTCCAGTTCCTCTTGAACAGTATGCCGGACACCATGGCCTCTAACTCCGGGAAGTTTGGCAATTGCATATTGCCAAGTCTTAGAAATGAACGCGTATAGACCTTTGGGCGTCTTTTAGGAAATCTACGTTGATACTGGCAAGAAGCCGCTAAAGCATTTCTATTACAGAACCCGTAGACAAAAATAATAACGGCGTACTCATCACTGCTAAATTCCATTTCACAACACTCAAAAATGGAAAAAAGAAACTTTTGACTTGACTTTAACAAAAATAAAAAAATATATGGTAGTAGTAACGCTAACAACCGTATAACAGATAACTTTGACAAACTATCTCCCAAGAAACGTCAAGTCAGGGGCTCCTACTTCATTTTGAAACTAATTGTATCTCGGCTCTTCATGAATGATCTAATTTGTTTTAATTTTATTTTTACGAAAACAGTGCACTCTAGGAAAAAAACAAGAATAATTATTTGTAGAAAATTGAAGGTGTAATTCGAAAAAATGCGCATATCGAAAACAAAAAACAGTGGCGTATTATTTTTATTTGGAAAAATAATGCCACTAATTCCCTGTATCTCCCCCACTGGTTCACGTTAATTTTAAGTAAAGTCTTGAAATTTTAGTTCATTCCAGTTGACGGTTTTGAAGATATTAGTGAAAATTGTTTTTTATTTTTAAACTTTAACACCCTATCTTTTTAATGAAGCCCTCGAGGAAAATTGTTTCATAGAAGACCCCCCTTAAAATGCGGTTCTGTGTATGTTTCATTTGTGGTCACCCTATATATTGGTTCCGTTGTTTTGAAGATAAAATTCTGAATCAGATTGATAAACAGAAAATCTTCAGAAATGAATTAGGATCACCCAATAAGGGTTTTCTTCGAGCTTCAGACTCCTGGTTAACTTCCTGGAAATCGGAAGCAATATGAGTAGATAGGAATGGCAGAGAAGCCAGCTTTGTATTTTTCTCAATCCTTGAGCACTGAGCTACTATTATACAGGATCCCGTATAAATGTCAGTATTATGTTAAGGACAGTCAGAGATCATTGTTTTTCATGTTGCTTATGACAGCAAAATGTTGAAGGGTCGGTCAGAAGAGGAGTAAAATCAATGTTTCATCGAGTCCTTTAGATGCCATGCTCTTCTGTAGGTGGTTCACTCCAGATATTTTTTAAAAAGACTTATTTTTTGTGTTCTACCTGAATCTAAGATACTGACCTCATTTTCTGGAACACAACCCGATTAAGCGTACGATTTTTTTGCTACAGTTTTGAACGCAAAACGGCGCAGGTGTGTAAGATTGAATAGTGAAAATCTTTCTAGTGAGATATTGCAGTATCTTTCCTTTTGCAACCGATACACAAGTGAGGAGATGAAATTTATCACATGTCGGTCAACTCAGATTTCCTTCTCGGGCATGGAAGACGTATCCAGAATATCAAATTTCCGTGACTTATGAAAATGATCATTTACTGCTACATATCTAAAAATCTGCAACCAATCAAAAATTCGAACAGACGAGACAATTTGAACTGACGTAAGATTATCTGAGAAAGTGATAAAATGAAAGGTACTTATACCGCCATTCATTTATTTTTGACTGTGGCTAGCTTTGCGCGTCGTCCTGTGACATGGGGTGATTCAATGAATTACATAAAAACATTTGTCACTACCCCATACATTTCAACAATGATGTCATAACAAAATGTTGATAGCGATTTGCATTTATGAAAACTGTAAAATGCCCAATAAATTTACGTTTACGGTCATAAACGGTGAATGAATAATATGTTTTATTGTTTTGACCTTCTTTGCGAGTGCACTGTAACTACATTTCAACTCACCTTGTGATGGTATGAGATGGATCACTGTGATTCCTTCTTTGCTGTTTCCTCTGAAACCAAACAAAAATATAACTGATGAGTACAAGGCCTTTTGAAAATTTATTTTTCATATATCATATTATTCAACAATAATGAAGATATATTTATTTACATGTATTCATTTTAAAGGATTCCATACAAGATACTCCGTAAGATATGAAAACATTGTAAAGAAACGATTTATTTGAAAAAAACATTATGTGCTGAATAGAGCAACATTAATTTTACCCCCAAAACGGACCTACAGTTAGGATGATGTTTTTGCTGCTATATGTCATCATCGAACTCACGAATGTCATCAAATAGGATATATACCGATATATCTAATTCAGAAGCTTGTGCTCCAGTTTGGAAAAATTTAGTGGATTTGGATATTTCTCAATGTTACCGGCGCTTAGCCTAGGCTGATCGCCTGACATCTACTATTGAGGCCGTAAGTGACCATAATTCCAAATATGTTGCCAGGATAATAGTGATCCCTGAAGATGATTCGAGTTCTGTTTCGGTTTGGAGCTGGGTGGCCAAGTGCCGTAAGATCTCAGCCACCAGCACATCTCATCGACGCAAAGGCTCGCGGATTCGAATCCCGGCCTCGGAAGTTCCGTTTCGAGCCATGGATGATGTGTTTGTCTATATATGTACACACCAGAGCGGTGCAAAGCCAAATAAGTACATCGCATCTCTAGTCTGGTTTATTGAATAATCATCCAGTAGATAAACATGTTGAGTAGTGCTGTTTTGGTATAACGGTGCCGTTAAAAAAGATTCAAGGGTGGTCTAGCTGCCACGCTTCGCCTCTTCATCACTGCTACTACTAGTAACTCTTGTTTAATAAAATAAAAACATAACCACTGTAACTGTTGGCGCCATCTGTTGGGGACCGCGCCAGACTCTCCTACTCGCCAGAGCTTCATGGCCGAACTCTGTTTTACGCGGATCGCGACCGCACATGCCACTTAGCGACATCTGTTGAGGACCGTGCCAGTGACTCGCCTTCTGGATCGACGCGAAGTGACCTCGACGATTCTGGAATCCCTGTTTGTGGCTCACCGGAATCTTCTCTAATCAAAGAAGCGGACTATATAACTAGACGGCCGGTAGAGGGAAGCATAGTAGAGTAGAGCAGAGTGGAATATAGTTCAGTCCATAGCGCGACATAAGAATTAGTCAGACATAAATAGTGGTGTACATAAATGTTCTATCAAGTCAACTTAAATAAATTAGTGCATTTCTTTTTGTGGAATCCACTATCTTAATCCACACCCAAAAGAACTCAGAAAAACGATAAACCACGATTTTCCTATATCAAAGTAACAAATTTTGGAAAAATGGAATATGTCAAAATGCATTAACACATTCAGTATTTTCTGTAGGTTTATCCAAAATGGAAAGCGGGTTAAGCGATTTTTAGTTTTTTATGTAATCTTTGTCTCAACATCGGCCTTCCTTAATGTACGATGAACCTCTCATGGTTAAATTAATATTCGTTTTGATTTTTGATCGACACTCTTTTACGTTCATCTTCAAGATGATCTACATTCGAGGATTGTGAAAAAAGTCTGGTGGTATATCAATCTTTTACTGATTGCAGAGGCACTGACAAAAAATTGTATTGGGAAATTCCAGAAAAATTCAAACAGTTCAGTTGAACACCAATACGCTATACAAAATAAACCAGCGTGTTAACGACAGTATTCATTAACTGTTTATAATCGTTCTTTTGTTTACACGTGGAGTTGTAATTTATGAATGGATGAACTTAGTAATAAAATTTGATCGTAAATACCGTACTGTAACATAATTTCAACGTACTAGTGGTACTTATTTCCCTAAATAAATCATGTTGATGACCAGAGAGTCGCTGGAAAGTTTAACTAAATACATGTAATAAGACAGCGCAAAGCGCCATATATCACACCAGAATCGACCAATAAGGAAAGCGCAGGAACAGTTCCAACAAATAGAAGCTATGCGCTGTCCGCAGTGGTCGATTTTGGTGTGACAAAAGACCAAGCCTAGGCCATGCTGAGGAGAAGCCAAGAAGCAGGATATAGCTGTCCATTGTTGGCTGTATTTTTGGTCGGACGGACGAAAGCATAATGAAGTAAAACGATCGCAAAAATGGTAATTGTGAGTTTTCTTGAATAAAGACAATTTCGGCATGGTTATGAGGAAACAAAAACAAACTTTTTGTGAGGAGCCGACGAACTATATTTAATCGCATGCTTTCTTAGAAACCCTAAACTGAACTTTCAATTGAATGAGCATTTGTTGAAATGGTAAGGTTCGGGTATCTGTCATCAAGAACGGTCTTAGATTTAAAAGTAAGTATTGCTCACCTTTTCGGATTGCTCCTTCACACTTTCGCTCCTATTGATGTTAATGTTCACTTTCCTATTACTACCTGCTGCAGGAAGTATCGTGCTGCTGCAAAAAAACAAAATTATGTAAAACATAAATTATGTTAAAGGAAGAATCAAGTAGACTGCCTTGGTACTTTATATTGTACCAGCAAAAATTTACTCAACGCCCAACGTCTTAGAGAAATAGAAATTTTAAAAACCATTAGTTTTGGAAACAACATTTTTTGCTGCACCTGAAAAGTTTACAAAGTCCAAAATCGGGCCAACAGAAAAATACAAGATGCATTTTTTGTTCCTAAAACCGCTGCCACTGGCGGCACTGTACCAAGTTTCAGGAATAAAACATTATCTAATATGCAAATGATGTCACATGGTAATAATATACTGGCTTAGATGTACAGTATTATTCAAGTGTTGCATCTTGAACACCTTGTAATAGTATCACATCATCTAAGTCTGGTATCTCACCTGAAGTTTGTAAGACAACTCATCGCAATTTCCATGACTAGCACATAAAGATATTAACAGTTATTATTACATTAACTAGCTATAGAAATTAGCACTTGTTTTGCAATGTACCTATAACATATGTTATAGGCCTGGTTTTCAAAAACAAACACATCTCAATCTCAACACATCCCTGGACTCAATCTCCAGAGCATCGAGGAGAATTGGCCTCGATGAAAGAAGATGCAGGTGGATAGACTGCATGCTAAAAGGAAGATATGGATGATACACCACTGTAATGGAAGATACCTTATTGGCTCAAGTATCCCGGGGATGTTCGCAGGGGGGGGGGGGTTAATTGTAGTAGGGTTAATTAAAGTGAATGAGTTAACAAGGGAACTATACCAAGACGGACACAAAACGCTAGAATACGCGGATCATCACAGTCAGAGACAAAATGCAACGGGCTCTGAATGTGGTCACAACAGGGACGTCCCCCTAAGACATCCATTGTTGCTTTCAACAGAACGACGAAATTAGAGAAGCTAGGACCTCTATGCCTCCTGGGAGAATGGATACAACTGTCGGGGGAAATTATGACCTGGAACCAGCAGATCAACTTTAATGTTGACCAGACGCTCTCGGCAAAACATGGGGATTGAGCCTTTCCATGATGCACTGGAAGTACAAAAAAAAGACCCATGACAATTTATGCATCTCTGGTGGCCAAAGATGAGACAACGCACAGCCATTGCAGAATTAAGCAAGGTTCAAAGACTTGCTTGCCTGTCGATAATAGGTGCAATGAAGAACGCTCCAACTACACCACTTGAAACCACGCTGGACCTCCCACCGATACAATATCTAATGATGGGGAGGCGAGAACGGGCTACTCCAGGCGACAGTCACAGCCAAAGGGAAGATATGAGAACCTTGGACATAACCAAATACGGAAACATGTCGGAAGTGACATAATTGATGCGAGGAAAACCACATAGCCCCGATATTTGTATTCAACAAGAAGAGACGAGACCAAAATATGCACAACCAGCAAAAAGAAATTATCTGGTACACTGACTGGTCAAAAACTAAGCAGGGAACAGGTGCAGGTACATATGGGAACAGGTGCAATAATGCGCATAGTATACCGCTTGGAAGTCACACCTCTGTATTTCGGGCAGAAGTGTATGCAATCTTGAACTGTGCAAGAGTAAATAATGAGCGAGCGTATAACAATAAAAGAATAGCCATATACACTGACAGTCAGGCGTCACTCATAGCGTAAAGAAATCCTAAAGTGACATATGCGCTCAACTGGGAATGCCAACAAGGTACTTTATACTGTATCAGCAAAAATTATTATGCCTAACGTCTTAAAAAAATAGATTTTAAAAACCATTACGTAATTTTGGAAACCACATGTTTTGCTACACCCTAAAAGTTTACAAAATCCAAAAGCGTGCCAACACATACAACATAAAATTTTTGTTCTCAAGTCCGCTGCCACTGGCACTATATCAAGTTTCAGGATTAAAACATAATCTAATATGCAAATGATTTCACATGGTAATATGTAATATACTGTCTTGCGAGATTGTTAACACTTCATCAAAAAATCAATATACAGTATTGCTTCATACGGAGCACCTTGTAATCGGTATCATATCATCTAAGCCTTGTATCACCTTAAGTTCGTAAGACACCCATCGAAATTTTTACGTGTATTAGCCACGTCTAGCAAATAAAGATATTAACAATTATTATCACATTGATCAGCTACAGAAATTAATATTTGCTTAACAATGCGTCTCAAACACATTTTAATCTAAATATAGGATTAATTGGACGACAGACATAATAGGATAATTGAACTAAATTTTATCATTTTCGGACATACCTATATTATTTTAGTACCTTATGATAACTTTGCTAGTGGAGTGGCAACGAGGCAATTAAAAGGTGCACCCAGAGGTTAATGATGATTTTAGATATAAACAGTTTAAATGACTATGCGAGGGGTTATCAAATAATCGCACAACTACATGAAATCGCACTGATATGTAAATATCCAGACTAGGCCCAAAAATCAAAAACTCAAATAAATACGAGATATTCGGGGAGTTTATTTTATTTTATTGACTGTGTGTGATCCGTTAATATTAACCATGCCTAATATGTGACGAAGGTATACCCTGAGTGTCGATAATTAATAATGTATAAAATTTCATATAAATCCACTGACATTGACGGAATCATCAGTAGATACTGATGGTATGGACTACAGTAAATACTGATCGTGTGACATTCCCCTATTTCGTCAACTTAGCTGCCTTAGCATAATAGAAACATAGCATAATAGACACGCGAAAATGTATTTTCCGAGTTACAGATCAGACAATTGAATTATTGCATAACAGAAATTAGTACCACGTATTTTCGTAATGTATGATGTCCCAAAACATGCATAAAACATGATATCCTTATTTCGGCATTTTTTGCAATATTTCTGGTGTTTGTGGTTACTTTTGAAATACAGTTAGAATAAATGTTATTAAAGAAATTATTTCCGCTTATTCAGAATGGCAAATTTCTGATTAAGAAGATTTGTAAACAAATTCATATTTTTGCTTGAGATGTTAATCAATCCTTCACTTTGCTAGTTAGTTGTATACAACAAACCATGCATGGAATGCAGTTCTAATCATTATTAGACTCAAAATTCTATCAGATTTCAATTACATACCTTCAAGTTATTCAATCAATATCCAATTTAAATAATTGTGTGGGAACATAAATACACGAAACAACAAAACTTCACTTTCATATTGCTGAGGGTCCAGGACATTTGATTCAGGTCAATGATAAGCCAAAAATGGGTTAATGCGAATAATTCCACGGTATTTTCACCCCGTTTCAACCTGTTATTACGAACCTCATATACAGAGTGTTCCTTAATGATATGCGAATATTCTAGGTGAATCTATATGAAATATTATTGTGTTAGTTTGCTTTATAAACTATGGTCCAAAAATGTTCCCTTACAAAAACTCGGGGTGTTGAAGTTTTAGGAAAAAAATGGAAATTAATTAATATTTTCAGAACCGCTTCAGATGTTTCACTGATATTTAGAACGTAGTGAAGTTAATAAAGTTGCATATTTTGGCGATCTTTGTCCGTCATCTCCATCACAACAGCGAGAAGAATCGCTCTCTGGGGCGTCAGATGATGATACTCTGACAGATGCTCCTCAGGGCGAGCTGACCCCTGTTAATAGGAGGACTGTCTGTCACCTCTGAACAGGAGAGGGAACTACTGAACCCCTTTCCGAAGCCAGAGGTGGCAGACTCTAAGGCGAAAAAGTCTTGGAAAAGATTCCCGGGTGCAAAGAGAAGACGCCTGACAGCGCTTGTCAAAAGCGGCATGCCGTACGAGGCGGCGCTTACGAAAATCCTGGGGGAATCAGCGAAGGACAATTTGGAAAACCTCCATCGTCCAACGCAGCTAGCTGCAGCAATCAGGAACAGGGAGGGCGTGTAGTCTTCACCAAGGAGCAATTGTTCGCTCTTCAAAAGGCGATACTGGTAGCTGTGTCTCGCATTAGAGACAGGAACACACAGGTGAGGTTCCAGGACTGTGTGTGTGGACAAAGAAAGCCTGAACTGGCTTGAAGGTGTGGCAAAGCACCTCCAGCCTTGGGAAGGCGCCAAGGTCAAGTTTGTCAAGGAGGGCAATCTTCCTAAACTCCTAATAAGCGTAGCATATCTTCCGGACGAAGTTCCAGAGGAGCGACTCAGAGAGGATGTGCTGCGTCTACTGGGGAATATGAACCGGATCCTGGATACTACTCGTGATTGGGTTGGGAGGATTCAGGCAAGGGACAAACGTGGACCTCTGGTACAGGTGATGCGTCGCTGGAGGCGCTGACGTGTCTGGACTTCAGACCGTACTTTGGCTTCGGCCAGGTACGATTTCGTCTGAGGCCCAGGGCTCAGCATCCGGGGTACAGGGGACTAATCCCCCAATAGCCCCCGCCGCCGGTGATGCGTCGACGGTGACAGCAGCACTGACAGCCACCCCTCCTGCTGCAACTGGTAGCGACTCTACCAAAGGGAAGACTATTCCAGGTAAGACGCCGCCAAAAAACGGCAAAAAGAAACCCAAGAAGGGGAAGGGAGGTCTTGGGGCACACAAAAGCTCCAAAGGCCAACCTAAACCGCCACAAGGTCCTGGTGGAGACAGAGAACCACTAGGAGGTTACAGCTCTGCAGCATAATGGCTCAATCACTGAGCCTGCTGCAGATTAATCTGCAACATCCTAAGGCCCCCACAAACGTCCTTGGCGCTCCAAAGGGACGGAATTGATATCGCCCTTATCGAGGAACCATGGAACTCGAACATAGGTCGCGTATCCGGACTTGGAGAAACATCTGGCAAGGTAATAGCATCACCCAATCCGAGGACATGCATCCATTTCGGGAAACCTCTAAAATACTTTGTTCTTACAGATTTCTGCGATAGGGACATGGTGTCTATCCACCTGACCCTACCAGGGGAAGTAGAGGTTGTAATTACATCTGCCTATTTTCCTGGGGATGCAGAAGAATCACTTCCTCCCCA